CAGCCTGCAGGTTTTAGAGCGCTAAATAATCCATTAGATGTTATCAAGTTGTAGCAGGGCAATGCCATTCTGCTAGGATCCATCAATCTTTCATAAGTCCCAGACACTGCGTGCTTTGGGACACTCTACCAGCAACTATCCACTCCCAGCATTCCATCTACCCCATCCGAATAACCGGAACCCGCACGCAAACTTGGATATGTACATACAGTCCAGGCAGATATCCACACAGAGAGCCAAACAAATACACGTGCTGACATAAATGCAGCCAGGTACACGCTCTTGCACTTAAGCTCATGCAGAAACAACTTGGACGGGGCTTGTTTAGAGAATCTCCAGGTCCGCATTTATTGTGCTGCGTCTTGTACCGTCGTTCTCGCTCAATCCGCTTTCAGACCAAAACAACATTTTTGAGCCTGTGCTCAAAATTAACACGGCATACACCGTTTTTCACTACCCACCACACCGGCTTTCCTTGCCCCGCTCCCCCCCTCCCTCCCCTCCGCTTCTTGCTGTGGCCTGGCAGGCAGGCAGGGCAGACATGTTCGAAATGTGCTCCGGTAATGGGCTAATCAAAAATGCAAAACAATTGGCAATTACCGCGCAGGGCCCTAATGGTCATTAGAATTTACAACAAGGTAATGAACTGAGAGTCAGCGCAGTCCATGCATATTCATAAAGCAATCAGGCCTTTGAAGATTAAAGAAGCGCTTCAAATTTAAATGAGGGCGCCAGCATGTTATCAGTGAGATTCAGACTGCAAAAGTAAAGGGTGCCTGAGACAGGAGTGTGCACGCATCAGTGTGTGGACATATGTGTGTCTGCGTGGAATGAGGGGCCGGGGTCAGTTTGGCATGGGGGGGAGGGGGCGGGGGTGTGAGTATGTGTGTGCACGCATGCATCCGTGCATAAGCGATCACCGTCAGTATCTGTGCCAGTCTTGTTTTTGTGCCAGCTTGTGACTGTATGCTTCTGTGTAAAGCATCTCCACCATCTTACAGCCCGAAGTAATTGACTAAATTAATACTCACTCAAAAGTGAACAGGCGTCGTTTGCTTCTTATCGGCTTTTTAAAAAAAGATGCGGGATTCAATTCAAATCCGGGATCAAATGTACGCTTCACTTTGAACTGCTAGGAGACGGAGGAATAAAGATTCGTTTTAGTTTACATTTGTGAAAAAACTGCAGCAGATGTCTTTTGCAGGTAGTTGGTAAAATACAGTTGGACTCGCACAGACGCACACATGCATGTGTGCTACCCCCCCCCCCTCCCCCCCTTCCTCCCTCCCCCTCCTGTATCTTTCTGGTCGAGATAAGGCAGGTGAGCCGCAGCTGCAGCTGACCATCTCCCCTCACAAACGGTACAAACAGAGACTCACAGAGAATGATTTCGGCAGACCGAATCCCACAAAGAGGGCGGAAATACTGACGGGGCTGATAGTGACAGGATCTGTGGATTCAGACTGCAATGATCCTCTCGTCACCGCGGCTCTCACATGGCCTTAGAATTATCTCTGCGGGTGTCAGCGAGACAAAGCATCTGTTCTACAACACCGCCGAGCCGAAGACAACAGACACAACAGGAATATCGGGGGTTAAAGTGACATTCTGAATTACGATACAAGTCGGGGAAAACATGTGACAACTCGCGAAAAAAGAAAACGATCAAACGATTTAAAGCCAACGGAGAAAAAAAAAAAACTGTCTCGTCAAAATTTGTTCCCGTTCTCACCCAAAACCAACCTGCCAACTTCTTAAAATATCCCGTCCGTCTTTTTTCCCGCTCTGATCTGTCACTTCCTGAGCCTCCGGCTGTATCAAAGCTTGCTTTTTCTTTTTCTTCTCTGTTTCTTGGTTCTGTCTAAAAATAAAGTCATTAACCTGCAGGTGGTGCAGCCGGCGGCAGGCGTGACAGGCCTCCCGACGCTGTCAGGTGACCCCCCCCCTGACCCGGAGATGCGCCTGCCTGCCACGCTATTGACAGGACAGCGGCGAGACGCGCCGACGGCTGAGGAGGCCTCTTCTTCTGGACAAACAAGGTTGTTTGTGTCGTATAGCCCGGTCCGGCAAGTCGGCGAAGAGAGTCGACGTATGTGTGTCTGCGGCCAAATGTGCCCCGAGTGAAAATGAGCTCCGGAGTGGATGTTGGAAGCCATTAAAGAGGTGCCGACACACTAATGTAGCCAAAACTTTTCTAGTGTCCAGTTCCCCGAGGGCGAACCACTGGAGCAATGCAACACGAGTTAGGGATGGAGAGGAGATGGTGTCCGGGAGGGGGGTGGCTGAAACAAGGATCATATGTTTCTGACAGATCTCATCAACTCACAACACATCACGGGTCCTTTTCCCACAACGCCTTCCTCCAGACAAACCGCAGGTTCAACTTAAGACGTTTACGCTGTGTGTGCGCGCAGAACCGCCAAGCGGAGGGGTTAATTGTTGTTCTCATCAAAAAGGGTTGTGTCTGTGCCCCTTTTTTGTTCACTTCTGTGTCTGTTTGTGTTGTGTGGGTCCGCGCAGTTGTGCATATTTCAACTAGCCTCCACCTGAATGGCCCGAGGCTGTAATGCTGTGGTTGTTAGAAGACAAACAGAGACACAGGAAGCCTGAGCCAGGAGCCCCTGAGGACACTACTCACCCATGCAAACACACACACACACACAGATACACGCCATCCACCGCTACCCAAAACTACACACACATTCCCACTGTCAATCACACACACGGAGCTGCCACCTCGGCGCACATTTTGACTTATGAACTCACAAAAACAGATACACCTCCTCTGACTCGCTCTCCCACACACACACACACACACACACGCACACACGTTTAAGTCCAGGCTGTCTTTCAGGCCCACCGGTGTGTGCCAAGTCTGGCCTGGCATGGTCCAAAGAGGGGTGTCCTCAGGCTAGGCTTGCCAAGTCAAAGACTCTTTCATGTTCAGCCCGCACGCCCAAGGTAGTAAAGATTTAACAAACAGCACCGAGCACATGTTCCTGTCCACTCCTCGCACACACTCGCAGAAGGCTATAAACCGTTTAAGTGCTGAAAACCGCACTCACACACACACATAAATGCACACATATAGACGTGCATTAGCGCCACATCCGTAGCAAAGATGTGAGCACTCACCAGTGTTCGGCTCTTGAATGCAGTCGGAGCCACTAACGTTTAATCCAACAACAAAGGCCATCACATCGCCTTCAACAAACATTTGTGGGCGTTTAGAGCTTGGCCTCGGAATATGAAAATGTCCCGTACGGAAAAAAAAAAAATCATCCTAACAAAAAAAAAAAACACACAACATTCCTGTTCACCTTCATTAAAACTTAAGAGAAACCCGCTGCCAAAAATAGGACGGGATTTTATCAGAGCCCAAAGCGACTGTAGGATCAAATTAGAGTCAGTTTTTTTTTTGCAGACAATGGAGAGCTTGTGTTCAAGTATTAGCCGGTGTCTAATAATTACAGCAGCATGCATCTGTGCCTTTTCAGTATCAATTAAAGTGATCACCGAAACAAAGGCACCGCGCGTAAACTTGGACAATGCCCCGTATGACTGCATGCACAAATGCACCCTGGAAAGTGGACAAGATATCAAGGCCAAGGAGCCCGTCCACACCATTACTAAAAGGCAAACTCCCCATGCACAGCTCAACCCCCCCCCCCACTCCCCCAATTTTGCATTCTAGACACCCAGTGTGTATATCCATGTGCGTAGGAAAGTGGGGGGTGGAGAAAGGTGGCAAAGTGCCAACACAGAGCCTGCTAAACACCTTTGTCTCCACAGCACACGGGGAGAAAACAGGACAGGCGAGCTTCTGCAGGAAAAACACGCTGCAGCCACAGAGAGGTGTTACGCGCAATATTGCTCCGTTGTTAGGATGTTTTCCTCCTCATCGAGGGAAAAAGGGGAAAGGTTGCTGCCATAATTGACTCAGTATCGATTCCCGAGTCCAAGTTACAATAGAGGCAGTGCTCTGGAGGGAGGCGAGAAGTGTGAGATGGTGGTCGAGTTGCACAGTTACAATGGCCTCATTAACACATGTGGCTATGCTGGTGAGAATGTAAAAGGTGCTAATGCTGAAATGGATAAATAGAGAGCCAAAATTATGTGACAGTACAATCACATTAATATGGTGCTATACTAATTCGATCCGGCAAAGACAAAGGATTTGTAGAATTACTTATTGTGCCACGAAGAATATGCAGAATCCCAAATACAGTATTGTTGTGTAAGCAAAATTATAACAAAGAAAGTCATATTCAAGCCACTCCAAATATGAAGATCAAGCAGTTTTAAGCTCTGATAACAATCATATATGGCCTCCAGAATGCCCGGTTAAAAGTGATTATTTGTCACAATCATGGGCTGAGAAAGCATCATCTGCTTTTTTTTCTGGGCCATCCATAATCTGTAGACAAGCTTCCATGTCCCTATGCATATCTTAAATTGTTTATCATGCAAATGACGGCACACAGGCTGCTCTGCCCTCTCCTAACGGCCCACAGCTCCAGACAGCAGACCCCAACCCCAGCTGCAATCGTGAGACTCCCAGACGGCCTCAGCTGTCCCTCAGACACAGACCGAAAGGGAGAGAGCTTCGTCTCCAGCCACGGGTGCATTACGGACAGCCCCCCCCCCTCCCTCTACCCCCCTCCCCCATCTCCCCCACCTCCAAGTTCAACCATCCCGGGTGTCGGCCCCCCCTCCTGTCCAGCAGAGCCTCTTTCCTTAACCTAGTCCCAGCCTTTGCTGTTATAAACTGCTGTCTGTATGGAAATCCATCTGTGTCAGATGACAGTTGAGGAGGAGGGTGGGCAGCGGAGGGGCCACTTTCAAGTTCAGGGCTCAACCTATAATATACTCCCGTGGAATGACCAGGGGATGAAGCGAGTGTAAGGGACAGTATGTATTGAGAGGCCTCGGCTCGGTGTCAGCCTCTAACCGAGCTGGGTAAAAGAACATGGCAGCTAGCATATGGAGCAGGGGGTGGCTCACTGGCACTGCCAGTCTGGATCCATCAATCTGGGATATAGAAAAAAAAATAGGTGTGTATGTGTGTGTGTGTGTGTGTGTGTGCTGTAAGTGAGTGTGAGCATGTGCATTACATGTTTGCACGTGCGAGGGGTGTGTATTCTGTGCTGCACGGAGGCTGTGCTTTTCGACTCAACCCCGAAAAGCTTTTGCAGATGTTTATATTTGCTGATCTGTACGTAGTTGACAGCATATGTTACAATGGGAGGTTATAACGAAACCAGATGAGGCGTTACTCCATCGCACAGCCGAATCAACCTACTCATCACTAATCTGGTCAAATACCGCCTACCGTAACGCAGGGTCCAAAGACATAAGGCCTATAAATACAGCTCGCTCACAACGCCGGTGACCTTATGATATCATGTGAACTCCGCTGCATGATGATATAAATGAGCAAAGAAAAGCATGTTTGAACAGCTGACAAGGCCAAGAGGCACGTCTAACGTGTAGGTGCGCGTATGTTTGAGGATGTGCGCGTCAAACCACACGTCCATGAGCACACCGATATTCAGCAAACTGTACAACAAGGAACAGCGACTATTCTGAATCGCAGGGGGCTAACTAGCCAACAAGATGAAACAGGAACTCTATACAAATCCATCTGCAAAGCTGCCACTCCGAGTACGGCAGCACCGTAGTGAAAATGATTGAATTTTCTCTGTGCTTAGCCTGAACCGGCTTTAAATTAAATCACAAACTGCCCAGGCAATCAGCACAATCTGGCACCTGCTATCGGCTCTGCTAAAGGGAAAAGAACAAACATTCAAATGGGTTGGTCCGAATCAAAGCCTGCTCCATAAAACCGGTCATAAGGGACTGATGCTTGTTTGCACGGCGACTCGTGTTTTCGCTGCAGCCTCATTTAGCCCCCGTGGACAGCCAACAAACCAACTAGCCAACTTAAGAAGTCCTTAATTACTCAAATCAAGAAAAACACCGACAATTAGTGGCTGTAGAGTTCCTCAAATAAACACTTCTTCGCTGACAGATAATTACATTCTTCTGTATCGCTTTTTAATTTTAGCATCAGAGAAAGTCTTTACAGGCACATATTTGAGGGTAGAAGAGATACTGTATGACAGTGTAATAAGCCAGTGAGGGATAGAGATACATCTCTCAGCACCACATAAGAGAGATTTTGAAGTCAACAGGATCCGAGCACATCTGTGATCCAGGGCAAACCAAAAAGAAAGTCATCTCTTCCTTCTTCCCGTCTCTTTCTCTTTCAATGTGTCTGTTTGTCTATCTGTGTGTCTCTTTTCACTGTTTACAAATGTTTCCATTTCTCACCACCGAGACGGCTGTTCTTCATTTCGGCTCATGACTCAGCTGAAGGAAACTTACGGCTCCTAAATGGGGCAGCACATATTTCACACCCCGGCTATGCAGATTGGATTTATCCTACCAGAGGCAAACAAAGTACATCTCAGGGAGGGAATTTATTTTTCCTGTGAACTAAACTCTCTGTGAACCTCAGAGAAGTGAAACGCTTCACACACCTTTGGACCTTAAGGACCGGCTAAACTCTTCTTTCTCTACGGTCATCGCTCCTCCCTCGCGCGGCGGCCATTTTGAACTCCCGGCATGTTTACCTGTGACATTCTCCTGCTTGGGGATTATTCCTTGCAAGGGCGCAGATAAACAATCCTCATCCCGCGGCGACACCTGAACGGCCACCTCCACGGGCTGACGCCCCCTCCGAGTGTGCTGATGTTGGGTGCGCGAGTGGGAGGAGGCGGTGGACAGTGGCGAGGCGAGCGGGGAGGACGGAGGCCGGTCCAGGGGTTTGTCCACGCAGAAGCTACCGCGGTGGCACTGCCTCCGTTTGTGCTCAATGAACAGCAGAATGTCGGCCAGGGGAAAGCGGGAGTGGCACTGGCCGCAGGTGAGCAGGTCCTGGTCCCCTTTTAGGGGCTCGCCCTGAGTCACTCCCAGCCTGGGAGAGTCCTGAGAGTCTTCTTCTGGTAAAACACCCGAGAGCGGCTCAGCTGCATGAGCAGACAAGAGAGAGAACATTAATATAAGAGTCATTCAGAAGCAGCAGCTTTTGTGAAGGAATAATCCTCCAGACTCACAACCGGTATGGCTCATTACTGTCTACCTGAATATGTTTGAGTTTTAAAGCTTCTGTGCAACTTTTTTTTAAGGAAAAATGGAAGAGCGAGACAGAGAGCAAACACACCGATTTGATACAGACTGACATGTTCAGCTTGCTGGCAGCAGTCAAACGATTAAGTTGCTTGACCCTCTTTATTGTGCTGCCAATCTCGCTTTTTTAATGAACCTAACACCTCTGAGAATCAAAAAATAGATTCTAATTTGAGTTCAAGATGATTGGACCCCATTTCGTTAAAAGTGCTGGGATCTCGTGAACCAAGGTTAGACATTGAGGGGTTGGATGTGGAGTAGGTCCCTGAAGTACTAACAGAGAGAGAGAAGAGAAGAGAGGAGGGAGGGTAGGAGACGAAAAGAGAAGAGACAGGAGGCACTTTAAAAGAAGTAATCTCACAATACAGTAAATGACATCGGGCACCCCAACTGGGGTGCTGAGATAAGATGTGATGAATTCTTGCCGCCAGTACAACCTTTAATTCTGCATTAGGTCAGAAGAGAAGGCGGTTTGGCACTATGCGAGATAGGCCCTGTTACCTGTATGTTCGGCTGCTTTAAAGATGAAGGTACGCGCCCCTATTTTACCACAGCTTATCTTAACCAGCTTAGGCGACGGACACAGGCCAGTTGTGTGAGGTCGGATTAGTTGGAAAGATTTTCTTCAAACCAAATAATCTAATTTTGACGCCAAAGCAGAAGTGATGTGTCTCACTTTGAAAACTAAAACGTTTCTTATATTTTTCCTCATTCATACGTCTCGCTGTGCCAGGATTTTTGGTAGTTTCAGCCTGCCTGTCCCTTTGGGGTACGAAAGCATGTCTGTTTCACAATCAGGAAAATCGTTCGGCCTCTCTTCATTTGGATTTTTAGAAAAACACAATTCTCTGTATTACCAGCGGATAAACTCTTTCGGTCTGCTCCTTACCAGATATGTATCTTTTTTATTTTCAAATAAATTTACAGAAAATAGGAATGGATCAACTTCTTTTTTTTTTGTTTATCATAGCATAACCTATTCTCCATTTGCTTATGACTGTTCACAGTTTGCCCCAAAAGGAAAATACATAAAGTATGATAACGCTTTCTCAGGTATTTCTGTGGTTCAAATTTTAACACCAATTTGCAATTTAACCACCATAGTAAAAAGAAAAAAAGACAGAACATTTTTCATGAATTTATATGAAGGCTGACTTTTAAAAGCTTTTGAAAACATACTTTTATCTAAACAGTCTCTTAAGACGCTGAATATTTATATTTTGTTTGTCGTCCAGGGGGGGGGGGGGAAGCATCACTGAGAACATCAAATATGCAATCACTTATTTCTGCTAAAACGATCCTCTACATGCGCTTGGTTAAACAGCACAGGGATAGAGTGGATCAAATTCAGGCTCCAAAGTGGCCTATGGGACCACAATCATAGTGCGCCCCCCACTGGCAACACTTCGGACAATTATCCCACAAATGAGGCAGTTCGTGTTGCGAGCTCATAATTGGTGTCGATAGAAATTTAAACGGCACCCAGAAACACGTATCCAGCTAAAACAAATAGCCATATTAAGGCCTAAATAAACACGCCTGCTCCTAATATGAACTTCACGTGGATTTGGAGATGTCTCCACGTTCAATGGAGCTCCGAATGCCTCAATAAAGCAGTTGCTGGTGTCCCACTGTCATTCCCTGAATTGTGTGTGGGGGGGGTATTCCTGCAGATGTAAATTCATTTTTGATTGAGTGTTAAAGTGCCACAGAGTTTAAATCAATGCTTTCGTTGTTTTTCTTCTCTTTTTTTTTAAATCACACGTGCGTAAAACGAGTTCCCTGCTTTTTCTCTTCTAACACAGCGCACGCAACATCTACGTTTTTACCCGTGCAACACAGCCTACCCCCGTCCATTGCACGACTCACGCTATATCCCATATGACACACACCGTCTTTAAATGTCATCGAGAGAGAGAGAGGGTTAGACGCAAAAGGAAACTGCGCGCGTTTAAAGTGGCGCACGCTGTGGACAAGTGTGTGTGTGTAAACACCACTTCCTTGTGTCCAAGCCGGCGCAACAATCTGTAAATACCTTCTTGAGGGAGGGGGGGGGGGGGGGGGGGGGGGGGGGGGAATAAGGCAGACCGCTGGAACGGCACATGCGAACTTGGAGGTGAAGGCAGCAGCTGTGAGCCTGCGCTGCATAGGCAAAGGTCTCCGGCCATAAAGATCATGCATGCCCTTTAATGGCGAAACAAACCTCCAACGCTGCGTTATACAACCCTAAAACTAACTCAACTTTTCCGGCACGTTGTTACTAAACTTTCACCAGGGGGGGAATCCGTTTTCGTTTACGGGATCGCTCGTGTCTTGTGGATTTGTTTGGGTTTTGTCATTTCGCTCTGGACAGCGGTGGGTCCGTTCGTAATCTACCTATTAACCCCCTCTCTCTCTCTCTCTCTCTCTCTCTCTCGCCACCCTGCCACCCCACACCGGGGAAGTTACCCTGAACGAAAGAAAACCGGACGCGTATCGCTGAGAGATTGAATTTTTTTTTTTTTTTAAAAACAAAGCAAAAGCGTCAAGAGGTCATTGAATCTCTACTTACGCGAAAACTCCCGTTTGCTCAAGTGCTGGGGTTTGCCTTGCTTGCGGCGAGACATGGTCGGTTTTGTGGAGGCTTTTTTCAGATGAGTTCACATTGGGAAATCCGTTCCTACAAGGTAGACTCCAAATGAAATATCTTCATTGATGCGACTGTCATCCAGATGGGGGGGAAGAAGAAAAAAAAAAAAGAAATCGAGCGGCGGATCATTCAGAGCGTGATGCGTGACGCGCTACGGGCTGTGTGGAGCTCTTCATGACTTTTCTCGCAAAGAGAGAGTGATGGGGGTACAGCGAAGCCCCCCGAGCTGCAAGTTCAAGTGCGGACGTGACGTCCCTGCGAACTTGAACGTCAGGCAGTGGATGGACCGAGACACACAAAACATGGGCAGGGCAAATACTGCCAGTGGGAGGGGGCCTAGCCTTAATGGAAACCAATGGACACTCATTATGGACTACCTATGGCCGAAGGAAAAAAAAAAAAAAAAAAGAGGCACACACAGAGAAACCAATGGACGGAGGGGGATCAAGGGGGCCGGGCTACCGGGGAGAGGCAGAGACTGTAGTTACTGGAGAGGAGACGCACAAAGCGCACGCCAAAGGAGAGCAGAGGATAAAGCCAGCTCCGGTTTAATGCTCATATGAATATGCAGTGCATATGTAAATGCGGAGCGCGCACATGGATTTCGCGTCTCTGCATGCACGTTGGGAAATTAGAATAGCGTTTATCCTGCGACGTTACGCAAAGTGCATCAGACCTAATACAAATGGAAGCTCAGTTGTTTTTTGTTTTTTTTTATTAATGTAGATTTTTGAAAGAGCTGCCCCCAAATATGTTTTATTTTTGCTTTGAATCAACTTTCTGATGAGTGTCACAGTGAAGCAGAACATTAAATTAAACCTAAAAAAATTCTCTTTGGAGATCAATAAAGTATTCAATATTCAATCAAACAGTGAAAATCTGAAGGTCGAAAAAAAAACCCAAATAAAGACATCATCTAACAGCTGTCAATCAAAACAGTGTTCTGTCTGTCTTTTTTTTTTTACCTGATTCATGAGTTACAGTCTATAATCTTTTTATACAGATAGATATGAAAGATCTAAAAGAAAATGAAGGGTTAAACATATTTCATACATTTGGGCATGATTGGGTCTGTAGATTGTTTGATTGTTTTTCACCAAATTTATTGTTAATTCAGATCATTCCATAATTCACAGTCCCCACAATGGATCCCTGAGTCCTCATGAGAAGCTGGGCGATACTTACTCTATATTCTAACTTCAGGGGGTTGCTGAATACAACAATAAGTCCTATTTAAAGGTAGTTTAAGGCAATGAGTTGCGCAGAGTAGCTCATAAAATCGCAATTATAGGACTGGCGAGAATGTTGTGACACACCGAAGATTAAACCAGAGAAATATTAAAGCCAGTTATCTTACTTATGACAAATAAAGTCCCCCAGTATACAGAAACAACGCGTTGTATTACCTGTAAGCTGCCAGCAGTATTGCTATAACACACACAGCTATTCTGAATAGATAGTGTGTCTTGATTTCGGTTTAATATTTTCTTACTTGTTACATGGAAGGGATGGTTATAAGTAAGCCATTCCTCAGACACTAGCAGCAGCATCACTTCTGGGACTGGGACGCCATCTAGTGTCAGACTGGTTGTGCATGCAATGATGAATTGCAAGAATATTCACATGAGGCCTGTCTGATGGAGTGGAGAAGCCTCCCCAGATCCCTAAACCCAGCGTTACTGGACCAGTGAGGGATGGTGTTGAAAGAGGAATGAGTCAAAAGGCGGCCAACATCAAAAAACAAAGAAGTTTGGGATGTCCCTCAAGAAACCTGGACAACTATTAGTGAAGACTTCTTATAGAAATGTAAAAAATGTGTATCTGAGAAGCTTCAGGTTATGTTGAGGCATCCAGAAGCACATATCAAATACTGACTTTTAAATTTGTGAAATGGTTTTTGCTCAGTTCTCACCTTAAACTCTGAAATTCCTTTTTGTTACTGAAATGAATTGTAGGCCTAGACTTTTGAACTGTTCCCCATTGGCCTTTTGCGCATGGCAACTAATACGCACAGTTTTCCGTCATTTTTTTAGGGGAAATCCAAAAACGACTTTAATATGGGCCACTCGTGGTTTTCTGTCTGTACCCCTGACTGTTACATAACCCCGTGTTGTCTTCCTGCTTTAGCGCACAGCGCCACCTTGAGGCCAAGACGCCGCAGCGGTGAGGGGAACCGGGGCTGGGCGGAGGGCTTCCAGGAGCAGCATCGCTGTTCACAATCCTCCACAGATCGGATGCCGATTGTCCATTGAGTACCTGGTGAGACCCGCTTACGTTACTCCCGTTTTGTTTTTTTGGCCAGGGGCCTGCTCCGGTGCGCGCGGGGGGCTGCTTTAAGGACGGAGGCGTTGGACTGAGCATCGCTGTGTGTGTGCGGTGGAGACGCCGTCCATAATGGGCTCTGCCTTTTAGATGCACATAAACAGGAGGGGAAAAAAGGCGTAACAACATTGTTTAGTAAGCGTTTAAGAAACAAGAGGGGTGTCGTCGTCAATTTGTCCTAACTGTCTTTTTTTTTTTGGCTCAAAAGACGCGCCCAAAGAGATGATCCTAACGTGAGGGATCAGTGCGCGCTTCAGATGACAAGTCGGTAATTAACGACTGTAGCTATATTACTGTATGTGATCTCTCTGTGGTGCATCATCTGATTATTTTTAATCTGGATATTCTTCCCCCCTTGGATGTGGTGTCGGTTTAAAATGGCCTCATGATCAACGCTGGACCGAGACGGCCTAACTGGGCTAATTTTCAGCCCTGTCATTGGCCGCCTTCACGCATCAGCTGCGAGCACAATTGTCATCTCTGAGAGGCTGATGTCTGAGGAAGGAGCAAGTCTCGTGAGGAAATCTGGGTGGCAGAAAGCCCCCCCCCCCCCCCCCCCCCATGGGGGAGAGAGTGGGTCGTCGGGTCCCTATTGGGATCGAGTTCATGCACAAAAGGGAGCGTCAGTAATGAAGAAGCGCGCGTAATTAAATGCCAAGATTTCACCTATGGCGCCAGAACAGCCTGATTCAGCAAGGCCTGTGTGTTGGTCCCGCTGTGAAAAGAGCTGTTGTGCTGCTTTATGGGCAGGAATTCTCTCTGCTGAATGGAAATCATATGAGAGAACCAATTGGGACGAGAGGTTTAGCTACAAGGGGACACATTATCTGACTCCTGGTCTGTTTCTGTGTGTTGGATGTGTGTGTGTGCTTCTTTTAGACTGTACACTCATTATCTAATTATGTCAGATGTCTTAATGCACATATGATTATCTCTGTCCTCCTGGAAGCCTGCTCCATAATTCGACCCCTCCCTCCCTATTTGTGCTTTCTGGGTTCTTCTCTTTTTTTCAGTGGTCAGAGAGCTAGATTTGGCTTCAAGGAAACACTGCTCAGCAGTTCTTATTTCGAGAATTTAGAAAGATGGCTTGAATGCTCTCTGCCCCCACTTTATATTTCACTCGCGCGGTTTTTCCTCGACATTGTTGACTGGGAAATATGGACGGCTGAGGCTGTCACGTCCTCGGGGGGGTAACTGAGATAGGTGCCCTGCATATGACACAAGAGCACATGCACAGATGGAGCCGGCCCGCGGGAAACCGTTGGAAACAACACGACTGCATATAGCTCGTGTTCACTGTAAACCCCTGTCCTCTCTGTTCAACTGACAGTCTAATATTGTGTTTGTTTGCAGCACGATGCACTAAACGCACGGGGGCGAAGCTGCGAGGCAGAAATGAGTCTGACTTCCTGGTTCCTGGTGAGCGGTGGGGGGACACGCCATCGCCTCCCCAGGGAGATGATCTTTGTTGGGAGGGATGACTGTGAGCTCATGCTGCAGGTACAGTAACGTCCATACCAGCTGAGTTTTACTTCCTCATAGGGCCTTAATGTAGGCAGAATCATTGAATTTAGAGTGGAATAAAGCCACTGGATTTTTTTTATGATCTAGTCCCGCAGTGTGGACAAACAACACGCTGTCATCAACTATGAACAACACACGGACGAGCATAAAGTGAAGGACTTGGGCAGCCTAAATGGGGTGAGTGTGTCACTTATTTACTCGTTTGTGTCTTAAAGGAGCCCTGTACCCTGTGCGTCTTTCATGGGAAGAAACAAATGAAAGACTCTATGAAAGTGCATAATGAGTTTATAGATAATCTCGGCTCATCAGTGTCTAACATTTTTTCTCAGTTGTTCTTAATCCTTTTAAATTGGTGAACGTTTACTTTGATTTGCTGGATGTGAACATAGTGTTGTTTTAACCCTTTGGCCAAAATAACTAAATCCCAAAGTAAGTAATTGTATCTATTATGGAGTCGATTCTAATCGTTGATACAAATGTTAATGTAAGCAGGCTCTGAGTCATAGTCTGTGATTTAAGCTTTTATTATGTTTAGCATGTTTATAATTACTGAACAAAGTTTCAATATATACATATTATAACATATTATATTTTATAACTACATATTATGGAGAAAGCTTTAGGCAGAAAACATATGAAGCAGTTCATTTTTGTTTAGTTTAATTTGTCCATTTGTCTTTCTTAACAATTTAGAGCTGCTAGCAATAGCGTCAGCTAGTGGTAGCAACCCATAGCTTGCTTGTTCAGCTTATAGGAGTTCAGAGAGTCTGTTTGGTACTGTACGTTTAGTTCAACATGCAATTAAAAACCTGCAAAACAAAGTGACCTGTAGTATTCTGCAGTTGAAACCCAGAATTTGCTGTTAAAATTTGAACAGCGCTGCAAAATTGCTGACTCACTATGAAGAGCGCTATAGAGGGAACAAGTGTCTAACAGAGAGCAGTTACTAAACTTCTGTGGCCTGTTTAATTTATTCAGGGAGGGATTGAGTACGTCAAATGCTTCCATTGTAGTCACAATGACTCAAGGTATCCTGCAGTGTTTTGTTTTTATGACAAATATAGCCGGGCCGAACACTCGGCTCCACTCAGCTAGAATTTAGCTTTAAGAGCAGAAAGGATCTAACCAAAATGCAAAAGAAGAGGGATTAGAGTTGTGTTTGTCAGGTTTTTTTTTGACGGGGACACTGCGTTGCCAAATAAAGTATTAATTTAAATGTAAATAAAATGTAACTTTTTAACTTTGCCTCCTCATATGTGTATCTTAACCAAATGTGGGCTTTTTTTACAATTTTGCAGACATTTGTCAACGATGTGAGAATACAGGAGCAAGTCTATGTCACCCTGAAAATAGATGACAAACTGAGGTTTGGCTACGATATCCTTAAACTATTGTCTTTTTCCATGTGTCAAAACCAGTGATATACAGGGCAGAAGTAGCTCTGTAACTTCATCCGTTCCTGAACTGATGTGAATTGCTCCCTGTACTCAGCCTGCTGCATAATAGATGTGGCTAACAGTGCATGTTTTGCACCCCTGTAAAGAGCTCGCTTTTCCCTTAACCCCGCTCACATACCAACCTGTTCACTGTGGTCCGCGGAGAGCTGCATATTCCCGAGGAGGCCCTCAAGGTCAGACAGCATGCTGTGCAGTGAAAACCTAAAAACTAAAAGCAAGTGCTTTAAGTGCTTATGTTGCTGATGGATTGGATATGCCTGTTCAAAACTGGACAGCTTGTACTTTTTTCATGACTTTGTAGTAAAAAGGATCAAAGAGTTCTGCTGAACTGGGCAGTTATGATGGTGCTATTTAGTCTAACTGGCCAGGTATGGACAAAAAAAAGAGGATTCAATCTTAAAGAGCTAAATCCAATGTAACCATTATTGACAGAATGTCTGTGCAGCTATATTCAAACATTTTTAGTAAAGAAAGTGTTTTTTTTTAATCCTGAAGAAAAATAATTCACATTAACCCCCCAAGTTTGACACAGCTGTGTTGCTTTTTTCTCCTTCGACTCACCTCGTTGTTTTGTCAGCATGAGAAATTGAGCAGCCAACTTCAACTGAACCAGAAGAAACCCCCTGAGTCAGAATCATCCCGAGCCGAAGCGAAATCCTCTGAGGCAGCAGCAGCCCCCCCACAGACGGCCGCCGCCGCTGCCTCTGAGGTCAGCCGGTCAGAGGAGAAGACGCCAGGTCAGTTTGATTAGGTGTACAGTGCAAATAATGAAAGCCAGAATCAATTCTTGAAAAGACTTGTTACTGTTTAATATTTCTTCCATGCTAAACAAAGAGAACATTAGAGGCAAATGAGATGCTGCAACAGTGGTCATGTTGCATTTCACAGCCATTTTTTTCTCACATATTCTGAGGATTTTTCAAGTTGTTAATGTTTTGGAGCAGCTGCACATGAAACTGCACACAGAAATTTGTAGAAATATAAAAAGCGCACAGTACTATTTTTTCCCTCCACCTTCAGGTTGAACCCAAGCTCCTCTCAGTTTCCCATTTCCCAATAATTAGAAGTAAGTTTGTGTGTGAAGTTTGCAGGTTCTCTCAGGGAACTCAAGCTTCCACCCACAGTCCAAAAACATGCATGTAACTGGAGACTCTAATTTGCCCATAGGAGTGAGTATGAGCGTGTGTGGTTGTTCGTCTCTGTGTAGCGTCTCACACAATGACGGGTCGGATACCCTGCAGTCCCAACAGAAACCCTACTAGGAATAAGCAGTGCAGAAAACGGATTGGATCTCAGTTTTATCCACATTAACGCATAAAGTCAACGGGTTTCGAATGACTCATACGTGCTAATAGTAACACTAAAAAAGGCTGCTTTTTGCAGGGGACACAGCAGCATTACACAGGGGTACCCCACTTTATGGCCAGCCCGCCTGGTGGGGAGATGGAGACGCTGAAGATCAGCAGCCAGGAAGGCCTGAAGAAAAGATCTCAAAGAAAGAAAAGGCTGAAACAGGTATGAAAAATGCTGCCACACCACTGTATGTGATTAATAACTTGCTGTGTATTTTAGACAGAAAATTATATTATATTATATTATATTAACTTATATTATATTATATTATATTATATTATATTATATTATATTATATTATATTATATTATATTATATTATATTATGTTATATTATATTATATTATATTATATTATATTATATTACAATATATTATATTATATTATGTAATGTTATATTATATTATATTATTATATTTTCATCAATCCTACTGTTAGCATTATGTTGATATTGTAGTGTTAGTTAGATGAGTTTGCATGAATTCTTACAGACTCCAAGAAAAGTGCTGAAATTCCAAAGTCTGCCCTCCAAGCAGCCTCCAACCAGGAGCCTAGTTACTTTGAAATCCCTACAAAGGACGCCCCCTCAGCAGGTAAAGTGGGTGGTGATTCCCCCTCGCAAGAGCAGGAGGCCGGCGCTGCTGCTCCAGCGGAGCCCGCCCACGGCCACGCCTCCTTCACCATCGAGTTTGACCCCGGGGCCTCGGGAAAAGTGACCGTCAAAGACCGGGTGGCGAAAGTTGGACCGGAGACTCGGCCGCGTCCTAAAAGGGCCGCCGGAGAAGATCTGAGCCCGCTTCAAACGGCCATGGTGGCAGCGGAGGTTAAAGTCGCCGACTGGCTGGCTCAGAACGAGCTGCCTTTGGCTCTTAAAGAGACGGTCGCAGAGGAGGATGGGGAGAGCGTGAAGAGTGATGTCCCCGTACAGCTGAAGAGTCTCAAAGGTATGTGTATTCTGTTCAGTATGAGACATGAGTCTATAATGTATTTGCTCTCTGATCTCTTACCTTCCTGTCTTATCCACGCGTACGACAGGCAGTAAACACGAGGACGGCACTCAGAGCGACTCGGAGAACGCTCTGGGAGAGCAGCGCAGGGCGGCGGCCCTGGAGGAGCGCTCGTGGGGGCTCTGGGGAGGAGCGGGGATGAAGATCCGAGAGGGCCGGGCCAACGTGCCAGAGGGTCTTTTCGCGGAGGAGGACAGTCCCGCTCGCCGCCGCAAGTCTTCAACTTCCAAAGCAGCGAGCGGGTTGGTGGAGAGGCGTCGGGGCTCGGCGCCGCACCAGCAGGGCGGGCGTAACGAGTGCTATCACCACGGAGACGATTACAGCGACAGAGGGACGTACATCATTGAGCTGGAGAATGGAGATCATGAAGAGGAGGAGGCTAGAAATTTGATTGACAAAGTAAGGAACCGTTATGGAGTCCAATCTCTTTGACCGTCGGCTGATTATACTGTGATACCACCCTACTGTTGTCACATTTTAAGGTGTTTGGTGTGGATGAGCAGGGTGTTTCCAGGTTGGGGGGAACCGACCAAAGAGAGAGACTGGCCTCGCAGAGGTCTGGCACAGTGGACAGAGGAAAGCCTGGACGGTTGGAGACAGAGGTACAAAGCTTTACTCAGAATTGAAGCAACTGTGTGTGACTGATGCTAGAGCGATTTTGCACATTTTCTTCTGTCAATCTGCCTTTTTTTGTCCTTCACCCTTTGTGTGTTCTCTGTTCAGGTCTTGTCTGAAGAGCTGATGGTGGGTGGCCCTCGCTGGGTGTCACAGTGGGCTACTCTGGCTGCCAGCCACATCAGGACTGATCCCGAGGGGTCAGGAGGGGACAGCAACGTCATGGTTGCGGAGGACAGAGGTACTTGTCTTAGGTTTCTTAACTTGGAATGAACAACTTCATGTCTTAAACTATTAGGAGGGCTTTTTTTAAGTAAAAATTGTCAGTTTACGTCATGATGACATTCATACAAAACTTATTTAATGTTTCTGATAAACAAACACTTCTTTGGTTGTAAAACTGCAACAAATTCGGTTTCTTCTGTTGGGTTATTGCACACAATTTTGGCACTGATTAAAAAAGACATTCTTATAATAATTCATCAATGTAAACATTTCTTGAATAACTTGAATGAAATGTTCCAGCTTGTGCAGATCAGACTAGTGCAGCTGGGGACCAGCCATTGATTTGTGTTGCACATCCTGAGGAGGTTTTCTGTCTTTTCAGCCGAGATAAGCGAATCCAGCCACTCAGCCACGGTTGCTTCCTCGGGGTACGCAGAGCGTAAGAAGAGGACCTTACCCCAGTTGCCCGGTGACGACCTGATTCGTGGAAGGAGGACCCCAGGTGAAGGCCTGCGCACGGATATGGGGGAAAAGCAGGACACGGAGCCGCAAGAAAAGGAGAACCAAGATGTGAGGATGTCCAGGGGAAAGAATCAGCCGGGACAGGGTACAGGGGGTGTGGGCAGTCACAGCGGTAGCCCCAGCCGCTCCTCGCCGGCTAAATCCCAGGACAGCGGCGGTGGAAGGTCGGGTCACTCCAGTGTGTTGACCAAGCTTCCCCCTCGGCCACAGACCACGGGGGAGAAGAAAGTGGAGGAGGCACGGAGGAGGAAAAAGGAGGAGGACAAAGCTCGGGAAAGCAGCGGGAAACCGTTACTGAGGCAGGAGAGTTTTACTGTAGAGAAACCAAGTTCTAACATACCCATAGAGCTCATACCGCGCATCGACGGGGTCAAAGGCAGCAAGACGCAGAGCAGGGAGCCTGGCATGGACGGTGCCACTCTGCAGAGGGACTCGGAGGCCGTTGCGGCTTTTCTGGAGACGACTGTGTCGGACCAAGGGGACCCCCCCAGTCAGTCCATCGAAGGCTCCATGTCACCGGAGTCGGACGTGGACACCACGAGCACGGTAAGCCAAGCTGACGGAGTGAGGAAGGTAGTCCAGAAACGGCGGACCCTCGCAGGACAACACAAGGAAAGGACAATTGTGTGCTCGTCCAGTAAGGGCCCTTCAGGGGCCGGGAGGGAGTCTCAGGACCGGAGGGTGAAGAACAGAACGCCTGCTACGCAGCAGTCCAGCCGCCCCTGGACTTCCCTCGACCTCACCGATGACGACATAAACTCCAACTCCCTCCTCTCTGACTCGCAGCCCACTTCAATGCAAGAGTCCAGATGCTCAAGTTCTAAAGTCCAAACCGGGGGCACAACCGTGGCGGCCAGCACCAAGTCCAGTCGGGCTAAGTTCACCCAGGGCCCAGTTTCATCGGCACCAAGTAAAACCCCCAATGTACCCAAACCTAGGCCCACCAGGACATCCATGTTGAGGCGAGCCCGGCTGGGGGATTCATCTGATACCGAACCTGCCGATCTGGACCGGATGTCGGTGGCCTCTGAGGCCTCCACTGCCAGCTCGGCGTCCCGGACTGGGCTGGCCCGGAGGGGGATGTCCAGGATAGAGGCTCTGGCCCAGCCCAGGAGACCCCGAGTGGGCTCCCCGTCAGCTCAGAGCGACTCGGAGGCCACCGTGGGGAGGAGCAGGGACCTGGGGGCCCGCAGTGCGGCAGGCGATTACGCCATCAGACAGGGGCTGAGGGGGTCCGGCGCACCCCCAGTGTTCGGGTCCAGAGCCAGAGCCAACAGCGCCTCCAAGCTGCCTGATAAAAGTAAAGGAGCCCTCCCTTATGGACATGTCCCACCTGCATGTGAGTAAAATAAATCTGTCCAAAAGCAAACCTTTCCACCACTGCTGCTTTTTCTAGCTCATATCGAAGCTCTGAAATTGCATTTTACTGTAAAGTACTGTACATAGACCCCCATTCTGCTTGCTTTATTAGAAAACATATGTCTAAATCTCAATTCTTTCCTCAGCCGGCACCCGTTGGCGCCGCGTGCCTGTGGACTACGCGTCCACCTCAGAGGACGAGTACGGCTCAAACCGCCACGTGTCCAAACAGGGCCACGCGAGGCCACTTCCTCCTACTCGAGTCACTCAGTTAGGAGGTTCAGCCCCAGCGACCCCCAATCCTGCTACCCTGACTGCCTTCCAGCAGAACTCCAGGGACCAGGACGAGTACATGAGAGACTGGACGGCGCACAGTGAGGAAATAGCCCGGTATGTGGTGAGAGGTTTCCAGTTTTAAGGTTTATTTATGATTATGTTCTCTTGTGCATGGGTATGTGAAGTTTTGTGTAAATGAGATAACATCAAATGAAATGTATGTTACAGTGTGTTTAATGTATTACACAGTAATCGCTCGCTTGTATTTGCTCATCAGGATTAGCCAAGATCTAGCCAAAGACTTAGCCATGCTTGCCAGAGAGATTCATGACGTCGCTGGAGAGATCGACTCCGTCAGTCCGGCTCCAGCTGACCCTGGATCTTTGGTAAAGTCCCAGCTTTGGACTTTTATCGCATGTCACTCTCTTGCTGTTGACCAGAGCTACCGTATTTTTTACTGAAGTGCAGTTTCTTATCGGAAGACATGTAATATTAAACTGACAAAAGTGAATAACATAAAATATCCTTCATTTTCAATTGTATTTCAGCTGGAGGAGTCTGCATTTGATGACAACTTGGATCTGGGTGGAACCTCTAAAGAGCAGAACGGCCGGTCAGTGGAGCTTCGACAGCGAGGCCCTGGTGGACAGAGCTCCCGCTCCATCCGCCGACAGACATGGAACAGAGATGATGTGAGTCTGAGCTGCAACCCAATATAGCTGTAAATGTACAAAGGTTCACACCACATCTGAGCTTTACCCAAGTTTTATTTCACCAGCGTTCTGTTTGTAGTTTTCACTTAAAAATGTATTTTATTACATATTATAATTATATGTTATTATAATATCATTATTATTATAAATATTATTATTATTATCCGAATATTAGAATAGCATGACAGTATGCTCCGCGTGCCACTAGAGGGAGCCTCATTCTGGCCAGCTGCCATCACTCCAGTCACACCTTCCCAAAGCCAGTGTCTTACATTGATTCACAGTCATGATAAACAGAAAATCTGATGCAGAAGGCTGTGCTCATTTGTAAGAAGAATAAAACAGCATTACCGATGACCTAGTTTGTTGTACTGTCACAGTAAAACTACTGGAAAGTGGTATTTTTTCTGGTTTTGTTTTTTAATCATCTATTTAGCTCTCTTTTCGGCATGGTGGTCTTTTTGGCTTTTGACATGACTCCCTTACCCACATACCCAAACCCACCAATGAAATCTTTACGAAAATCTCATATTTGTTTTGAAGAGCAGGTTTTGAGCGTCCTCAGCTTGTGGATGAGATTTGTACGTATGTCTTCTCCAGATGTGCGACCCAGGAGGGTTAACACGCTTCTCCTTTGCACTCTTTTGCAAAGAAGAAGTGCAAACCAATGTAAAATGATGTGCCTGAATGTAGGAAGAGGACCGAAGAGCAGCTTTAGCACCCTCATGACCTCACATACGTTTTTCTTTTTTATTCAGGGTGTCCTCGACAGTCTACTGCTAACCTCTGTGACTCAGCTCTCATCCAGGATACGTCAGTCTGTCGACAAAACAAGTTGCAAAATCAGGTAAGCATAGCAATAAGCATTTCAACAACAAGATCAAGTTGGTCGATTTGCTGTAATGAATTCTGCAAAAGAATAGATGCAGGACAGGGCTCCTAAAATGTCTCTATGCTTTTGTATAGTGCTTTCATGTTATACATTAAGTTCTTATCCACCTTTTATGTTGTAAAGAGGCCAACAGCCATTGTTTGACTGGCACATCACAAAGATTTACTCTGCCAACCAGCTTCACAATTTCCTCATTATGTTGACAACTCAAAGGTTTTTTTTGGTTTTTTTTTGCTTTTACAATCTGCAGACAGTGCCTGAATAAAAGTTACTTGAGCAGTCAGCTAATACTTCTAAGGGGGCTTATATTCAGCATGTTTTCATGGATTTTACTTTCATCTATTTTTGTTACTACTTGGCAACAAGGATCCTTTTCAAGGATAAAGAGCGAAAATGGGAGGAGATTGAGACCAAACTGCAGGCAGAGCACGACTCCTTACTTCTCAAGAGCTCCAACATGGTGATTAACATCTTTTTTATTATCCTTTTATGAATGCTCAAGGATTTTTCAGTCATAACGCAGGACGGGCTATTTTTAGTTATCTCTGAAATCACTGAATAAAGGTGAGTTTAAGGATCTTGAACTGAGTTTTCATTGGTGCTGTTTTTTCACAGCTCTGAGACATTTAAAAGCCTTTCGATGAGCTGAACCTGAGATAGTATTTGTTAAATCATTTGTTAAATCCATTTAAACTGTTTGCTTGTCATTGGAAATAATTATTAAATCTAGCCCTTCATTTCCAGCCCAATATCTGATAGATTACTATTCGTAGTCATTGTAAGAGCTAACAGCATCTTAGTTGTTTTGGAGTCATATTCAAAATAAACTGTAATTGTCCTTTAGAAAAGAACGGAGAACCCACCAAATATGGTTGTTTCGAGCGGGGGAAAAAAAGAGCCATAAACTTACCTCCACATGAGTTGTTCCTGTTTTATGGGTACATAGATAAATAAGGCCTGCAACCCCATCTGGCCTCAGGTGAACCCCTGAAGAGATTTGTCACAGCCAGGGCTCGTAAAGCATTTCTGAGCTTAGAGGTTTGGCTCCAAACTTATTTCCGCAGCAGGGAAAAGAGTAATGTTGTTGATTTATTTGGTGAGCGCTTTCATTTAATTACTCAAAACCTGGCGCTGGAAATAGTCTTCACTTTACAATTTATATTTCTAACAGGAGATTTCAACTATTATTCAAGACCTGAGGAAGGTGGAGAGGCAGCTTGCAGGTATGGATCAGATGATTTTCTTCCATTTCCTGAACACAAAAGCTGTCATCACATAAAAAGCTGTCTTTGTTTTAATGTTGCAAGACTTCATATGTTTGTTTTTCTGTAAAATGACAGTGATCGACATGATGGTAGATCCAGACGGTACGCTGGACGCCCTCTCTAACTTGGGGCTGACCAGTCCTCTGACCGATCAGAAGCTGGGCCCCGGGGGTCGGCTGCCCGGAGCAGAGGCTTCCGCCGGTCAGCTCTCAGCGCTTCGGCCTGAAGGGACGTCTGCTGAGCCCCGCGGATCCTCACACCACACTGAGCTGGCAGACTGACACCCAGACCTTACTACTGACAAACCAAGGAACATTTCCAGTATGCATCCTTTTCGTATGTGCCCCGAAACCCCTCTGGAACAGCCTCGCTGTGCTTTAGAGAATTGTTTTGTGTGTGTATGTTCGGTTTCAGACACAAAGAAAGGAGAGTTATGCCTTTTCCGTAGAAGAACCTAGCTGTGCTGTCAGTCAGTGGGAGTGGGGCTGTAGACTGTCAAAGAGAAGCTCTCAGCATGACGGATATTCTTCACTATTTATCACTATGCTTATGAAGGAGCTATGGCATCATGTGGGGTAATCCATCTGGGCTTTTGTGTTGCAGCTCATTCTAATGATCCACTACCCTGAATAATGAAGGACAGATGTGAGGTCAAAGCCAAGTGTTCTTTAGGTCCTCTTTCGATTATTTAACTGTCCTGAGGAGACAGGACTGACCATAAATCTTGAAATCCTTGTTAAGCTAAAGCTCGTCCGCTATGAAGCTGACCAAAAGTCCCAAATAAGAAACGTGCAATGGCGTCACACACAGAGGTCAAAGGTAGTCTGTGTGATCAGTGTTCTTCTATGCTGCCATAGAATTATTTATTAAAATGAATCTATTTTTGCCATGTTTACAAATTCAGTTGATGGGTCCATCTCAGTAATGACTTTCCCCAAGAAACAGCGTTGCTGCTTATCCGCTGGGGAAAGAACTGGGAGCCTTTACCTATAGAAATGTTTATCAGAATAACGCTTAAAACTTCCTTTCCATGGCCCTGTTTTGTGCTAATGTAATTCGAAACCTCTGAATCAGAGAGTGACCCCGTGTATGAAGTCAAAAGTAGCACCTCTTTCAAATGTTTTTTGTCACAAGTGCCCTGGATCAAACAATCATTGGAGTCGACGAGAGGGAGGTCAGATTTTTGTCGTTGCACTTTTCCGAGCTCACCCATGTCGACATTACTCTGAGGGACCAGGACAAGATGTTCCCCCCAACGGTTTTCCTTTGTCACGTTTATCGTCTTTGACCAAAAGCAGGGTTGTAACCAGCGGTCAGCTGAAAACCTCCGCCTGATCCCAGAGTTAATATTGTGTTATAACCAGCAACGACAGGGACTACCTCTGAGTCCTGTAGCCGTATTTTATCGTCAGTAAGACAATGGAACGATCAACTGTGTAACCGACTGTAGGTTTTCCAGTGTCTTGCCTCATACCAATGTTTACACTTGAATGTAACCTGATCAGAACTGCTGAAATAGTTTTAGCCAAAACAACTTTAAAAGAGATGAATAACTGCATTTTGTGCTTCAATTTTATTACATTTAGTTTGAGCATTTTGTGACTTTTTCCTGTTTCCTTTGTTTAAAGGTTTTGTATGACCGTTTTTCCCCTTTTTGTCCTATAAGTTAAATGATGACTTCTTTGTCTCATTTCCAATAAAAAGCATGATAACAATTAACTACTCTGCTATTTTGTTTTTTATATTTCAGATAATATAAAATACAAATCAAAGCACTTCTCTCGCTACTTTTTATCCAAATTCCATGGCATTTGAGGAATAAATAGATAATTGAAGAGGTAAAAAGCTAGTGGCCCAGGTAGAGTAAAAAGAAAATAACCCCCTGGGTCTCCATCCCTTCACAGCAAACAACACCTTTCACAGTCGCACACACACACAACAAATTAGATTTAAGAGGTATGCTGCTGGAGTTCGAGCGCTGCTAATTGCACGTCTCCAGATATTCGGCTCCACTTCTTTAATCCTTTAAAGCAGTGTCAGGGTTTTCCTCCCGTGTGGAGCACTTTCCCTGCAGCTGCCTCTCTGCAGGCGTCCACCGGAGAGGCAGCCCTCTCCAGGAACTCTTCACCTTTTTTTATCACATTCACCTGCCCTCTGGGCTTTGTTAACAGGCCTTCTCACCTTGGATCCAAATAGTATGAAGAATATTTTCATTTAACAGCAAGTTTTTCTAATTAATAGCCATTCCATCTATCTCAAGATGGGGATGATTAGAGTAGCTCAGTGGGATCTGAGCTGCTATTGACTATTTGGCATCAATATGGTGTCAGACTGAAGAAATATGAATGACTCTATGTCATATCTGTGCAGGATAGCTGAAAATACACACGTTCTGCTCTTGCTAGCGGATGGACCATCTTTGCTTTTGTTTGTAGGAGAGCAATGAGAAGAGAAGGGAGAGAGAAAAATATGTTCCATCAATAATTATTGGTTTGCGGTGCAGTGGTCCAGATGGGGGAAATCATTTGACGAAGTTGTTTGTTTAGAGTTTCATGGGAAATACCAGGTCATGATCATTGATCATATCTTAACAGATATTGACAGTTAGATACAAACACGCCCTGATAAAATGCTGCATCAGCAAATAAATATTCTCTCAAGAAAACACTTCCAAAAATGATTCCAAATGTTCACGGGCATGAAAAAAATAGGAAACCTCTGTATTTAATTTTCACTACATGCATGTCATGAATAAATGAATGAATAAATGATAGTTTCAGTGCAAAAAAATCACTTTCAAAACTCATTTGAAATAGATTTTTACAGTGACGTAGAAAAAACAGGTGTGGTAGAACATCACAAATGCCAGAACACTGAGGGCTACACAGGAGAATCACCAAAGATGTTTATAATCTCATTATGAATTTCAAGGATGGTGCTTAAGAAGAAACTCAGCACCGTAAATCTTCAGAGGTTGCTCTGGATTACATCCAAACAGCTTCGGGGTGATCTGTAGCAATCTGCAGTGCTTTCTGTGCAATACACCACAAACTAGACTGAGACATGCTCCCACTGTAAGGGCCAATAAAGGCAAGAAGAGTCTTAACCAGCAGCGGTATTTCTATGATACAGGAAATATATATCGAAACTCTGTGAGAAACAGTGCCAAACGCAATGCTTCAAAAGCAAGAGCGGTGTCTGTATGTTGTGTTAGTTTGAAAGCAAAAGGTGTTTTTTGTGATATAGTGTATAAGTCTTTTGGAAATGATTAAAAGGAAAATAATGAGAATAAAGTGAAAAATAATAAATTAGCAACTGATAAAGGAGCTTCAGCAAATAGTGAAGTCTGAATACATCACAGAAAATTGCAGTAGAAATCAAACAAACAGCACAGACACAGTTTGATAACTACAACTGCAACAATAATTCTGAAAACGAATTTTACACAAAAAAAAAACATTAATGAATGGTAAAAAATAACGTATCTGAGGTATATCATTGCAGACCAGATGTTTAATTGACAAACCAAAAAAACTGCTGGCAGAATTAATCAAAACTGGGCAAAGAAGAGTCAATCTTTCCCTCAGTGTTGAAACCATATTTCACTAAAATTGACCCATGTTCTTCAAATTCTGAATTTGAAGGATGCTGTGAAAAGTCCCCTCTCCTGGCTTGTAAAGGCCTTTAAAAGGCTACACTTCTTTGTCTTTTAGAGAATAGGATCTCTGAATAAACTCATTAGTCTCTACTCCCCCTTTCCTCCCAACATGTCTGGTCCATGCTAACACTGACCCCGGCTACTTTGCTCCCTCTCCTTATTTGATCCATTCTTCGTGCAGACCGGACGTAGCTGTGCAGTCCCACCCTGCATATTGCATTTTACTGAAAAAAGGCGGGCTGCCTGACCTTGTTTTCCTGAGACTGTGGGTTGTGCTCTGCATCTTTAAAGATGACATGCATCCATTCAAATACTTGTTAACAAATGGATGTCGGAATTCGATCCGTGGCAGCAGAATCAGTGAGATGCAAATAAGTATGAATACAAAATTGTCTTGTATTTATCTATTATTTAAATGTATTGTATTAAAAAGTATTGATGCCAGGTCACATGATTGTGCATGACAGCAGCTCCTTTAATTCTTTATCTATTTCCAATACAAATTGAGTGCACAATAAAACTTCTTAGCCATCGTTTTTTATTCTGATGCTTTCATGACTTGCAGAAACGGCCTTTTTACTTTGCTGCCATGATACACGAGCGTCTCTGCCAGTGTCAATGTTCTTTATGTGAAGGGCTAATGGCTCAAATCAGGTTTGGTGTGTGTCTCTCTTTGTGTGCGTGTTTTCGTCTTAATGTCTGATCGTCTTCTCGCACTTCCATCAATCAGATTATTCTCCTTTGCCGTGTGCTGCTCTCCTGTTGAGCCGCCCTGTTTCAAAAGCCGACAGAAGCCCGCTGCCTGCCCCCCCTCCCACCTTGGCAGACTGAGCCACGGCAACACACACCGAGACACACACACACACACACACACACACACACACACACACCCTCCCCAGTGAGGGCTGGAGGGAGGGAAAAAGGCTTTGGAGCTCTGGCTACAAACAGCCAGGGAGCACACTGTAGCTCAGACAGCACAGAGAGCCACAGTGGCTGACTCAGCTTCTGACAGACAGGTTCAAAAGACCGAGGAAAGACAGGAGCGACAGCATCTGTGCCAGTGTGTGTGCACGTCAGAGTGTGTCTCCGACTCAGCAGAAAGCATCAATCCACTGTTCGTCAATGGAGCCGTCGGCTGATCTGCGGCCGGGAGGTCAACAGGAGGCTCCAGCAGCTCCTCTGTCCGGCGCCTTTCGCGTGAGAGGGGGCAGCTTTGCCGTCCAGCAGCAGGGCTACTCTGCGTCCATCTTCCTACGGCGCAAAGACAAACTGGAACGGGTGAGCTCGCTTTCAGACAATCACGAAGACTCCCACGTCCATCTATCGGATAGCAAAGAGGGGAAGCTGGGAGCTTACGCTTAACATTAATCAAACAAAGCAGGAACTGGGAATACAAAGTCTGACCGGGGCCAGAAAATGAGTCTGATTCACTTCAGCCTCAGCAGCTGTCCAGTATGCAAAGGGGCTGGCTCTGTTCCTTATTTTCATCAACTATAATACCATCCAATCTCTGGGACCATGGCACATAGGCCTGAAAACTGGAGAGTTGCTGTCTAGGTGCAGATGAGTTCTGTTTTTTATGACCTTTTCCATTAGTGCTGCACAGACAACATGCACAAACACTCAATAGATGTTACAGTCCTTACCACAACTAACTCCACGGGCTACAAGCTGCACTTTAAGAATATCTATCTCTACTGTACATGGTTTATTTATGGCTTCGGGAACTTGTTGTCCATTTCTCCATTTTAGCTTTAAGCCGGATTGCTGATAAGTCTGGGGTCAGTGGCCTCAGTTTGGACACACTCCAGCCCCTCATCAACCTCCAAAGTGGGCAAGACTGATGGATGGGTTAATTAATCATTGGTTTAAAAAAAAAAAAAAAAAGAGTTGCAGACACAAATGAGATTCAAACCCAATTTGTGCGACAGAAATTAGGGAAGAAAATTAAGTAAGTTGGTAATTCTTAAGCATAAACATCATATTTATCTAAAGAGATAGATATCGGTGAGTATAACCAACTCAAATAAGATTTTGTCTATTGGGACGTGGCACATTCAGCGTGCACAAAAATTCAACAGTAAAAACTGGAAGGTTAACAAATTAGTATGACTACAAGTTATTCAGTTATTGAAATGTTATGATTAGTTCATCAACAACAAACTCTTAATACTGTGAGATCAGTACTTAATCATTGAAACATAGACTTGCCCGTATTTGTCAAATGTTTAGGGACTGCGAATAGGGAGAAACCGATAAATCAGCCTTATGCCATTTTCCCATTTCCCCAACACTTCCAGCCACACAAACACACAAAATAGGAAGACTGTCAATCATTTCCACCAGAGAACATAACATGGGCTATAATTCACTGTAAAGCCTGACCTTACCACAGAATGTTGTGTTCCTGTTCAAATTACGTTGAAAGAACTCAATTTATCACAAAAATTGTCAGAAAAACGTGAATCAATCATCATTCTTTCAGGAGAGAAACTGAAACAACGCTGAACAGCTCACACAGAAATCCCATTTGATCATGTGTGGGTCCACTGTGGCCCTGTGGCGCCTTGTGTTGTGGCTCTGAAATGAAACGGCTCTTAATTAGTCCCCTGTGTGAGGGAAATGTGCTGGACAATGTTAGATAATAAAGTCCCGCCAAAGGTGTCAGAGGGAGCAGGAGAGAGTTTGACCTCTGAATTCTCTTGCTGACAGCATTCCTTGAAAAGGGTACAGATCAAGGGAAGTTCCTGATCTGTAACCCCTCAGAAAAATTGACTGGTAGGCATTTTATTTATTAGTATTCAAAGTTGCAACGTCGCAGCGACTGCACTGGGTAGACTGTGTCAACTATTTCCAGGCACTGAGCAAGGCTGGGGAAATATACGTCTGTGTTTCAGGGCAAGATCTGGGCTCGTGATGTCAGTGGAACAAGGATCGTTTTGAGAATTGGAAGGCCTCACATAAAAAAAAAGAATCAAAATCGTGCTGGAAGGCCACAAAAATGCAATCCAAAATTTTCATTCAACAATCACTGCCATCGGTTTTCAAAAAATCGGTTTAAAAAAAAAAAAAAGAAAAAAGAAAACCATAGTAGTAATAAAAAAGAAAGAAAAGAAAAGGAAATCAAAGTATTTGCAGGTGTTCGCCGTCCGTCGCCATCAAACTTTTAGCTTTTCGTCCGTTTCTTTTCCGTATTCTGTGACGTAGAAATAAAAAGTTTTCATTTGCTAATGAGTGAGAGGACCTGACGTCCCCATCAGCGTGCCGTTCACTGTCCCTCTGGCCTGCCGCCCAGCTGTCCGAGCGTGGCTCTGTGCCCGGTCGGCTTTCACTCAGCACATATCGCCCTGCCCGTGACGTCAGAAAAAAATGTGGCCCCGTGCACATGCAGGGGCCTGCTTTCGGTTTGAAGGTGAAACAACTCCCGTGAACCTCTAAGACGTGTGTTTGAAAGGTAACACCAGCATGCATAATTCATGCAGAGCGAAATGGTGACAATATGTCAAGCTTAATAATAGAGGCGAGCCGGAGAGGGGCATGCATTAACATCCAGCACTGTATCAAATGTGAGTGAACGTCTTATATAGTTTTATAACGTAATGTCACAGCATGGAATGGAGGTAAAGAAAATCTTGTAGCTGGGTGGAAAAACTCAGCAGGAACTGAAAAACTTGCAGAAACGTCATTGTTGAAGCGAGAATCTAATCACAGATCAGAGGCAGAATAGTGGTAGAGGACTCCCATCAGATTCTGTTTCCAGTGTGAAAACAATTCCCATCTCATCAGAAACATAGATATACATCCTCATCCATCAAGTACACAAACTGTGCAGATCGATTTTATTTGCTTGTTGAAAGGTTAGGATGTTTAGGATGAGGTGACAGATTGTAAAAAGGATCCAGGAAGCTGGGAAATTGCCTGAAATCTCAAAGATGGCGTTACACCAGGAGTATTTAATATGTTTAACAAATATACATGCATTAAGTGCCCACTCTTCATAGGCCGTGAGTTTGAGATCGTGATGTTCGTTTTTCTCATCGTGTTCCTTTCTGTGCTCGAAAGACTGGTTATTTGGCCCCATATGTGCAGCATTAGGAACCTCCACCCCTCCTGGGAGGTGACTCAAACACTTTGCTCTTTGGCAGACGGTGTGACATGCAGAGGGCACCTGTCCTCCACAGGCTCAGCAGGTTTCCCTGCCATGACTTTCCTTATCTGGAGCCTCAAAAAAAACACACTGCTCCATAAGCGGCTATAATTAAAACTTAATTAGTATTCTTCTTTTTGGCTCATGGGACAAGTTACGAAGGGAAACAGCACACTGAGTTTTTGAGAGGGGAGATTTTATCTGACTTCAAAATCTACTGTTGCAAAAAAGTGTCTGCATTAAGGCTCTGAGTCCTCCCTTCTGAGCTTAGGCACGCCTGACTTTTAGCAGCACTTTAACAGATGAGCCAATTAGGGGCACACTGCCCCAATACTTTTCCTGATTAGTTCGTCTACCTTCCTGTACACTGTGCCTCAATTTAACTGTCTGCAAGAAAGTAAAATATATATGTATGAAGCACACAGACGTGACAAACAAAAAATGATGTACATAAATCAAATAGGGATATAATGAAATGCCATTGCACAATAAAAATAAAAAGGTAGTCAAAAACGTAACAGCTTCTTAAAAAATACTTTGTGTTTTTTCTTTTTTTTTTACATTGTTGATGTAATTAAGTCTTAATTACCTTTAAATGACCCATATAGTGGCTGACAGTGTTATTTTCTATTCAGTGATTAAGATTATGGCCATCCATGCTGAATTTTGAGTTACTGCCCCACAAAGGAGAGAGAGTTACAGATTCAAATAGTTAAGACTTAAAAAATTGCTGCTATAAGTAATAGAAACATTTCACCATATTTTACAATTGCATGGACATGGCAAAGTTGGAGAAAAAGGAGATAGGTGTCTGAATTTAGAAAGTCTTCCTCTTGTATTGGGTATTATTTGCTGAGCTCATGAACAGAGTTGCAGCTTGCTTGCAGTAAGCAGCAAATGTTTTGTTTTTTTGTGCCATTAGGCAATGCTATATTCATCTGCAAGGAACGGGTTGGGAGAAATAAAACAGTGGAACGAAGTGTTGGCATATTTCATTTCCCTCCCTCTAATTTGCTCCTGTGTAATAAGAGGAGGCAGAGCTACAGAATGGATGAAGCAGAAGGGAGCCATGAACAAGTGGATTGGAATATTGCGAGTTGCTGAGAAACATTATGATTTAAACGCGGGGAAGTTTATAGCAGGGGGCATAGCTGAGTCGTATGTGTTGCGTCAGTTTTCTGCTTCTGAGCGGATCTGCAGACTACTTTGTCAGTGCATTTGTGTGTTTTCACACAATAAATTTGCTTATTAGTTGCAGAGAGTCCTGAAGGAATTTGGGTTTTTTTTTGCTGCCGTTGTCATAAACATTAATTGTATCTTTTTGCGTCCCTCCACTCGGAGTCAAAACCAATTGCTCCCTGCCAAATGAGTTTTGTTCACAAGACAGATAAAAGAGGGAGATATGGAAGGGGAAAAAAAGCAAGAGAGGAAGCAGGGAAGGGGGGGAGCTCTGTATTGGCTGTTTGTATGAGGAGGGGGTTGGTCTTTCTCCGGCTTTCTCTCCACCTCCTCTGAGGAGCAAAGTGAGCAGCAGCACACGCACAATCACAGGCTGGAAACACCATGCCAAGGTGCGTTAAAGACCAGGAGCTGGAGCGGGCGTAGAAAAAACCTGCAGGATGCAGAGGAGGCAGCGAGATGAGGACGGATCCAGAGAATGAAGGGGCTGAGGGTTTTGAAACAAAGCCAGAGGCAGACAGGCATGTGTGACTGAGCTGCTGTTTCACATCTGTCAGGGAAGTTTGAAGGAGTGCTTTGGTCATGGCAGGACCAACCACAACCACTCAGGAGCCTGTGAAGGTGATGTTTGCATCCCTCTAGACTTCATTCATTCTTCATCTGCTCTTTAAGTCGGATTACTGTCACTTTGTCTGTAGATCTGAGCATGCTGACTTCACTCCATTTGCAAGTGTGTTAAAAGTACAATCGTGAGCCATTTCATACCAAGTGTAGCGGGTGAAGCCTTCACTTCTTTAGCTGTCATTGGTTTAATTGTCTCCGATGGCTCCACCTGTGCAGGCAGAAATAAAAGGCATGCCCGGTGAGCCTCTGAGTAGAGAAGAGCATCGCTGTCTTTCTGCATCAGTTCACATTTGCTCAGAGATTCATTTGACTGCTCATTTCTTCTGCACGCATTGAGCATGGCCGCGCCAGGAAGTGATTTTTCTTCCCTTTCTTTTTGACTAATCAGTCTGGTCTGACCTTTGATCGATAGAATGGTTCAATAAAAATAAAGAAAATAGGGGCAACAAACCTATGTAAGATGCTATAATTGGTTGGGTTTTTTTTTTTTGTTTTTACTTATAAATGCTTTAAATGTGTTAGTCACTTGTTATAAATGAACTTTTTATATTTTAGTTTTTTTAAAATAGTATTGACGAAATGAAGAAAAGTCTAAAAAACTGAAAAGCAATATTCCAGAGTCACAGGAGAGCTCATTTATCAACGGGCGGATGTCAGTACTTACAGATTGAGCCTGATAGCAATAATAAAAAAGTATCAGCTGTGTCTGTAGCAGCTGGCTGTTTCCAGGCTCGGGCTGAATGTGCTCCTTGGGTTTCTGAAGTTACTTTTTCACTGTGAGCGACTGGCCTCCATCTCCCCATCAGTCTTGTTCTGTGTCACGGCGTTTTAAATCCTCACAGCCACTGTACACATCCACAAGTCAAGCCGAGTCCTTGATGCCGCAAAATGGAATGAAGTGCTCAGAGGTCTCGGCGGAGTGCGGCGTGCATCTGGCTGGCGGAGTTGTTAAGCCTCATTGGTCGAGACAAGCAGTGCGGGGAATAGCGAGAAACGAGGGTCCGCAAACAACCTCCAGCCCCCCCATCTTCCCGCCGCCCTGCTGAATAGTGTTTTTGTTTTACTCCATCATAATAAAAGTTGCTGCCGGGAGTAATTTTTCCAGAGCTGGTAGGATGCAATTGACTTGATTGATCAAACGCACAAAGGAGAATATGTAATGTGATGTGGACGGCTCGTGAACCGACCAAGCCCAACAGGGCCGAGGATGAGATGGTGCGAATCTGCAGCGGTAGGCAAAACAGAAGTGCCTAACTGCACTTTTTAAAACCAGTGGAAATCAACACTCCTCTGTCTGGATTGGGGCCATAACATTATAACCTCTGATCACACTCGCTGTCACCAACCATTGGCCGCCTCATGCTGCGCACACATTCTATATGTGCTCCCAAACATAACCCTTGTTATTGCTTATCATTAAAACAACACAGGCTGTGCCCATCCTGACACAAAGCTCATAAAATCCATGTCAGCCGGGACCTGTATGGACGAGCGAGCCACGAACTACACCTCTGCAATAAATTCCTTAAAGTTGCATCGGCTAACGTGTTCCACTTCCCTTATCCAGCACTCTGATGTAAAGAAAGAATATTGAATGCGGGATGAGGATGGTGCTCACTCTTAAGTATTAAACTCTGCTGCAAACTATTTGTCAATTTCAGTGTTCATTCTGTCGCATAGTGGTTCTTGCATCGATCATGAATCCTAACTTCCGATCAATGTTATCGATGGGGGACATTAGCATCTGAGGCGGATCATATTCATTTGCACGCGTGTGCCCCAAACTAATAACGTGGTGTGACTTTTGTCAGTGTCTCTGCCCGCCGATCCCCCTGTAGACGCAGCAGAAGTGCATTGCCGTCTTCGCTCTGCTCTGCTGCTTTGCCGTGCTGGTGGCGCTCATCTTCTCCTCGGTGGACGTGTGGGGGGACGATGAGGACGGAATCACAGAGGAAAACTGCAGCAGAGACTGCCGGTGAGACCCTCTGGCGTGAAAATCCCCATCCTTTGCATCATGTCGCATAGATAACATAATGATGAATGTGTTCATTTATAGCAGTTGAAAGCGTCATGCCATATCTTTCTGTATTCTTTGATAAGAGCCCATTGATAGCTTACGAAATTTAAGAAAGTTGCAACGAAAAATATCTGTAAAACGTAGCATTTCAGACACTAAAGACCTGATGACTTCCAGCATCGTGCTTGTGGAGACAATCCCAGACGAGCTGTCCCTCCACATGGACGGAAAACTCCACACTGCGCTCTCTGCTGGGTTTCACTCACTACTGGACCAGGCAAAGCACTCAGTGGAGGTGGTGTCCCCGGTCTGGGAGCTGAACTCCTGGGACCTGGACCCAGCACCGGCCGCCGCCCAGCAGGTACTAACTCTGAGCACAAACTAACCGAATTTCCCATGTGCTCCGTCAGAACAATCACAATCATTTTGCAGTAAATCTATAATTGGTCTTTTAATGAGGTTAGTCCTGCAGAGATATATGCGTTGCCCTTTTTAATAGGTGTTCAGAAACACCGCCCAGGTGTTCCGTTGCAGTAAGACGGGGCGTCTTCTTTTCCTCAGGGCGAGCTTTTGTTCCAGAGACTGCTCGGCCTGAAATCTCGAGGGGTTAGACTGAAAATTGCCAGCAGTCTGACGAACTCCACTGAGCTGAAAGCCTTGGCAGCACACAGTGAGTCGCCATCCCGTTTGTCATTTTTAAAAAGAGTTAGTTTCTTTATCAATCTGGCAAAAAAAATAACAAAGACTCACATCCAACAGGACTATAAACCTGGTGGAGTTCTCCTTTCAAAGGCAGATTGTGATATGCTGTGCAACTAAAGCTCTTTCGGATGTCCGCAGCACTTCACAGCCCATATTGCTTGCAGCATCCCCTAAAGAGAACAGATGAATTTACAGCATGCAGCTTCCCCCCCAGTAGCTACCACGCCATGTTTCAACCTAACACCCCCTAAACTTCACAATCAAGGTCAAAAAACCCTGAATGTGCAAATGTGCCTAACTGGTTTCTTCTCCTGTCGCCCATATTTCAGTCCGGCACGGCCCAGCCAACTGGCAGATTTCCACACTTCCCTCCATCTAATTCTTTCAAACTTTTCCTGCTCCCACTTCTCTGTCCGCCCCTGTTTTTTCTCTCACCGCCCAGATGCAGAGGTCCACTTTGTAAACATGACGGCTTTTACCCGAGGAGGACTCCACTCTTCATTCTGGATAGTGGATCGGAAGCACATTTACATCGGGAGCGCGGATATGGACTGGAGGTCTCTCTCCAAGGTAACGAGAAGCATCAGCAGCAGTCGTTTTTTTCTTCCACAGAAATAAAAGCTAGGCCTGTGCAGAGTTAATTAAAAGACAGAACCCCACAGGTCGGCCCCTGTTTGTGCCTGTTTGTGGAGGTTTTCCAGCAACGGGACGATGCAGACTGCTGCCTGAGGTTGTACAAATAGACAAATAGCATTCTTTTTTTCATTTAATGTGTTATTCATATAGGATGATGAACCAGGAAGGATTAGCATATACAGTAACACGAAATGATTACCTGGCTCTTTTGATGTTTTAGCCCCGTCTGGACGTAGAGCCACAGTGGAGCGTAATTATATAAACACCCGGAAGGAAAGAGTTACAAATGAATACTTTACAGAGGACATATAGGCAGGAGAGGGACGAAGATCCATGATAAGAGGACAGCTGTTCATTCTGAGGCAAACTCTGAAGTAGAGCTAACACAAAACAAAGTTTTATGCTGTGCGGTTAATGAAGGGGGGGAGGCTATTTTTGGATCTGATGTTTTTCCCTCGTCTTGCTGTTTTTTGCCCCAGTGACTCTGCAGATGGCAGTGTTTGTCCATTTTCTACGCCGAACCACAACAACCATAACTTTTATGTTACATGTTATGAGAGAGTATGTTCGAAAACTTCTGTCTCCTATCAATTTAGACGGCCTCTTCATGAACTGTAAAAACTGACAGATTTTTCACTTAAACAGTGTATCCCAGTGTACCTTGAGTACTATAAAGAATCTTATCTTTTGTATATGTATTTGTGAGTATCTTTACTCTTAGCGACCTGGAAAATATCCACACATGAAGTTTGCCTGCATCGGACATTGTTCTGCTTTAGTTTTCAGCAACCCCAGAAAAACATGTTCTGGAGTTCTTACATAGTTTAATTTCAGCAAAAAACATGTTTTGTTCTCTTCTTCTGTCCCCTCACAACAGTCTGTGGTGTGAGCATATAGCGTGTCTGTGTGAGGACACAACTCCTCAGGGAATATTCCCATCCTCTGTCAAGACTGCAACTTTTCTGCTGCATCATGCCTTTCTGTGAGTTTCTTTTTTCTTCTGTCCAACCTCCCACCCCCCACAGAGAAAAGAGCTGGGTGTGGTGGTGTATAACTGCAGCTGTCTGGCCCTGGACCTCCACAGAGTCTTCTCCTTTTACTGGCAGCTCTACGAAAAAGACTACATCCCCTCCATCTGGTCAAAGAGAGTCACAGCCCTCTACGGGAGGCACAGCGCCCTGGAAGTGGAGCTCAACTCCACCCCTGCCGAGGCTTATGTGTCTGTAAGGAGTACACGCCGTTGTTGTTTCACTCCATCTTTTATGATCTGAACTTCTTAATATGACTTGCAAACATTCTGACCATGGTCCAGCACTGCAAACAAGCAAACAAATTTATCTTTTTAATCAATTTTGAGGTATTCTAGACGTATTCTGAATTTGTTGATGGCGTAACTCTTCAGTATCAATGAGAACTGACCAATATTTGCCATATTCTGCACTGGTAGGTGATGCACCAGCTGTATTAATAGCAAACAACGAGAAAATGCCGCTTTTTAAAAGGCATCGCTGACATTTTCCACATAACGGAGACCCCTCCTGCAGCCTCAGAAACCCTGCACGTTTAAAAGTGCTGATTTGATCGCCCTCATTCATTCAGAGCAAATACTGAAACCACAAAAACCATGTCGCTGAATGAGAGTCTTAGCAGGAATAATTTAGACACAAAGTGTCAGAAACAAACAGGTTATTCGTAGAGAACACTCTCCTGTCTTTTCCTGTCTCAGGTCTTGATGGTGAACCTCTTCATTAAAGTTTTATTGCAAACTAAAAAACCCACACACAGCAAATGATTAATCATGCCACCATCATGCTGAGGAGCATCTTGAGTCTGAGTATGCCAGCACCTCCGCTTAATTTGACAGTAATGAATCTTGTTACCCTCTAAGCGACAAGACACTTATTAGTTGTATTCAGGACATTTATCATCCTATATGTGCTAATGGAGCCACGCTGTCACCGACGGCCGGCAGCTCCAAACGGGTCCCATGCCCGACTTCCTCTGGTAATGATTGGGAGCTGTGGAAACAGACTTTGTTTGCTCCTGTTTTTTGGCATTTGCAATCTAAATGGAGGATTTTTTGCAATCAACCAGCTGAAGCATGTCTGAAACTAACTAACCAAAAGCATATTAAACATTTTCTCATCTAAACTGGTGTTTTTTTTTGTATTTTTCTGATCGTAAGTGAACTTTCCGTTTGCAAACGCATGCGGTGTGTGTTTTTTCCGTAGACCTCTCCTGAACTCTTCTGTGCCAAAGATCGCACCAGAGATGTGGACGCCATCTACCAAGTCATCCAGAGTGCGAATAAGTTCATCTTCATATCTGTGACAGACTACCTCCCGCTGGTGAAGAGGAGCTTCAGAGGAATTGCCGTCACAAGGTGTGTGTTCACAGCTTCCACATTCAAATCTGATTATTTACAACAGTTTGATGCTTTTCAATAAATCTAAATACAAAAAAAGGATTATTACCTAACAACAGTAGCTTGAAATTGATGATGGCGATTTGTATAACTGTCTGTCAATGGGTTGATGTGTTTTCCTTGGGGGACTCTTCAGGTACTGGTCATTCATCGATGAGGCGATCAGGGAAGCTGTGGTGCTGAGGGGGGTCCGAGTTCGCCTGCTCATAAGTTTCTGGAAAAAAACTCACCCTCTCACCTTCAACTTTGTGACATCCCTCAAATCTCTGTGCATGCAGCTTCACAACTGTTCGCTTGAGGTGGTACGTAAATCACAAAAAGTCGCATCCACGTTGTATATTTCGTGTTATTCGTGCTGCAGGTATAAATCTATCAGATGCCAACTAATCGTTTTTCAACAGAGGTTCTTTAGTCACAAGGATCTGAAGGACGACTATCAGCTTGGACTCAACCACAACAAGTACATGGTCACCGACAATGCTCTTTACCTCGGTAGGGAAAGTAGTTTCTTGTATTCATGTCTTTGGTCAAAAAGAACCATAAGCATTAAAATTAGCACAAACTAAACCTGTATGAGATATTTCACACAAGCAGCACTGTGTAGAAACACACATTTATAGCATTATGCTGTATCTCAAAGCTAGTTTTCTCTAAGCTGTTCGAAATAGAGTTTGGCATTTTGAAGTTTGGCGTTCTTCTGTCCACAGGTAACCACGACTGGGTCGGGAGTGACTTTGCTGTCAACACAGGAGTTGGGCTGGTGATCAAGATGAGGGACAGTCCTCAGGAGGGAGGAGGGACTATCCTGGAGCACGTACAAGCTGCGTTTGAAAGAGACTGGAGGTCACGTTATGCCAAAAGCCTGCAGGGCAGCAAAGATCAGGGAAAACACAGACACTTGCAATGGCCAAAACACCACCCGGAAAATAAGGAGGAAAACGACTGGAACGATCCTTTATGAGCAGAAGATGGGTTTCTAAATTCTTAAGTCTCATATGCCTGAGTACTATATTTTACAAATACCTACACAAATAAGAATGTAGACCTCTCCTATAGACTCAGTCTAATTTTTTTGCTTAGACTCAGATGTGTGTTACTTGAATACTAATGACTACTTAATCAACTGTAAACTGTTATCAGCATGCACTGCTGCATGAATACTGAAAGTAATATTCAGTTACAAATTGTATGCACTCTATATAGCAACAGATACAATCAGCAATGTTGGTCAATTGTACATTTATTTAATCAACTTCACCACAGAAGTTTACTTTCAAAGGATGATCTGCTACTTTTGTCTAAAGTCTTCATTTAAATGTGTATTTCTTTTTGGATCTACATAAGATTTGTAGGTTTTAAAGCCGTCTGAATTGTATATTAGCTCATTCTAGCTTTTGAACCACTTCTTTTGAGTGGTGCTGCATTTATTTATTTTTTATTTATTTATTTTTGCTGCGTTTATTTCTACCCGTTGGGATGTGTAGGGGGACCAACACGTGCATGTGATTCTCCTGCAAAACCAGGTCACGTGCTTCCTCACACGAGTGATTTTCAGGCTCCCACGGCCGTGTTAGCTTCATCAATGCCCAGTTTTTAGTTGGTTTGGTTGTTTTGATCTTGGATGATGCTTTTTTAAGTGCTCACATCTGTTTGAATTGCAGCATTTGAATAAAGGGCTTTGCAATCATGATGAAGACTTTATGCAGACGGCGTCTGTTGTCCAACAGTTGCGTTTATAACCCACTTTAAATTATTCCAAAACCAGGCACTTATAGAGAAACAAAGTGCAAGCAATGTGGATAAAAAAAAATACTACCTTATAAAGAGTATCCATTTTCTGTCGTCTTCTGTCTGTCTTTCATTTTCAACTTCCAATTTATGTTCCGAGGTCATTTCTTTGGATATAAACAAACTACTGAATCTATCATTTTCCACCACTTGAGGGCAGAAAACCCCAGCGCAAACAAGTAGTAGAGTATCTTATAACTTGTGTTTGCAAATTGTGGATCATACGTGCAGAAGCAGCAGTTTTTGTTGCCATTGTAGTTGTTTTTCAACAAATCTATTTTTTTTTGTTTGTGTGTTTTTGTCCTTTTTCAATTCTTTGAATTCTTTGAAAAGATCAACAATCAGACCAAATCTTTTTGCCACAGTTGCCCCGCAAAGTTTTCTAAATACTTGTGGTGATGGGAAAAATATTTTTCTCTGCTAGGTTCCCCTCAGTATTTGAGAACTGAGTGGTACATTGGTTAGTGTGTCCAACTATATGTAAATATTCTCAACCCTCTTTGACAGGTTTTCTTGTTATTTCATAATTTGATAATAATTGTTAATGTGCAACCCAAAGCCTGTTAGGATGTTGGCTGCCTTCTGTTTTTATCTCTTAAGATGACCCCACGCTGCTTTAGTGATGATGAGTTCTGGGGAGGATTCATCCCTAAAGACCAGTTGTCCCTGTTTTGTGACCGTTTTTACCATGAGAGATTTAGTTCCACATTTGAACACAAGGTGGTGCTGTTGCATGTATTTCTGTAACTTCATGGAGCCAAAGTTTGGTTCTGTGGTTTCATGTTTACATGTATGTATGTAAACAGTCCATTCTAAACACTCCCTACCAAACCGAGCTCCATCAAAAGTAAAGAAAAAAAATTTAAAACTTGGATTCTATTAAAAATGGTCATTTTTGGTTTGTTTAGACAAGCAATCTAATCGTCTGTAGCAAACTTTATGACTCTTTGTAACGTAAAACGTTGACATTAATGCTTTTTTTTATTCTGTAATCTGTTAGCATGACCGGTTACCATGGTAACAGATTATCAGAGAGCTGTAGCTAACATCTCTGCGGGAAAACCCTTATGATTTGATCTCCTTTAGGTGAGGCTAGCTTTTGTTAAGCAGATGCCTTTTTCTCTATTTTTCTTTGTTTGATATGTTCCCTCTTAACTCGATCTTTTAAAAATCCATAAAACATCAGCCGATAACTGCGTGTGACGTGGAGGGAGGATAGGACGAGGAAGAGGAGGAGGAGGAGGGAGAGGAGGAAGAGGAGGAGGAGGAGGGGTTTGGGAGGATTGACGGCAGATGCCTTTGCAGCAGAGGACCACAGAGGATGAGTGCGTGCGCGTGTGCGTGCGTGTGCTGCAGCGGGACCAAATGCGGATCCGTCTGAGCACCGACCGTTAACCGCCACATCCCACGAGTCAGGAACAGACGGCCAACTTGTCTGGATGGGATGGAAAGGACGACCTGAAGGCTGGACTAGTTCCCAACTGGATCACTCCTGAAGAACCGGAGCTACCAGCCTTCTTTTTTTAAACAACTTGGATTGTCTGGTGACTGATCACAGCCTCATTAAGATGGAAAGTGGGGTTTTCTTGCCCTGTCTGGATCAGTTCATGCTCACCCCTCTTGTCACTTGGGTAAGTAGCCCAGTGCAGAAATAGTTACTCTCTTCCCCTTATGCAAACCCATGACCTTACATCCTTTATCGTCTTTTTTTTTTTTTTTAGGTAAAGACATTTGAGTTAACTGATGGGGGCATGCACCTGGATTTCGCAGAACTGGTGGATGGAGTCTTTTTGAACCAGATAATGGCTCAAATGTAAGTCCCTTCATGCTAGTTTGGGCTTTGCAGCCTCACTTTTCCACACTCTTGTTGCATAGGTGTGTTCAGGGGCAGTGGACATGGCCTCTGGCAGAAAGTTATGACGGACAGTAAACATTCAATGCTCATGTGTGCCATAAGTGTCAAACATCACACCGCCTCCTCTGCCTTGTTTTTTAGCCCAAACTGCCCTCTCCCCTCACACTAATCATACTGTAGCAGCGACTGATCCCGCATTAAGCGTCTGCCCGGGCGAACACTGCTGGCATTGTCGCCGGTCACTCATAAATCGGGGTCTTTGTCATCAGCCGCAGACTTTAAATGTAACTTCCTCACTACTCGCAGGTTAGGGTTTCTCCGAGAATGTTGGAATTAGCATAAATGTGAAACGCGGATGCAGAAATGACCACTTGAGAGATGTCAGCTTGGACAAAAACAAGCCTGGGGGACATCATAGACACTGTCAAGATGCTACTTAAGAGATTATGATTGGCTTGTCTTGTGAACTGAGGGTGTTGCCTTCATCCTTTTACGAAATCTATTTTGTGAGGGTCTCGTGTGGAGCTTTTATGTCGATAAGAAATGACTTTTCAGACATTGATATCAGAGTACCAACGGATTGTGAGGAGTCAGGGTTAGGGTTAGGGTTAGGGAATAAGGAAAAAACTCCTGAGCCATCACTCCACTTGTGGATAATGCTGTCTGGGCACCCCGACTCTCCAGCGTCCATCCCACTTATCCCCCCAGGGTCACACTGACCAGCTCCGAATACAAAATAACACTGAGCCAGAGGGAGGGGAAGAGGCGGGATAATCTCTTTGGATTGGGAGACCCTCTGGGATTATGGTCTGGTGTTTAGTGCCGGTGGGACACAGATGGGAGGAAGCCAGCGTCCACGGAGAGTCCGATAGTGATGCACACGGCATATGTCGCTCCCTTTGACTCAAAATATGTTTCTCAGTGTCCATTAATATTAGCGTTGACGGTTAAAGCCCAGATTCCAGGCTGAAGCCGGCAGTTGGAGCAAACAGGGGTTCTTTAGGGGTGGAAAAGTGTAATGCTCCGTCTGACTGGAAAACACTCCAGTCTGGCAGATAAAAAATAGAGTGATGTCATGCAAGCCAAAATTAGGAATGAATGGCATTCTCAGACATGTTTTCATGGCCGTCCTTGGTGAAAGACATTCACCAGCCCGTAGATTCCTCTAAACCCACTCAAACGACGAGCATTTCCCCGTTGGTGAAAAGCACACATGAGAAGTATGATAACCTGACTCTGTTTCCCGATTCTTTAGAAATCCCCCCGCTGTACCTCATGCCGTGAACAAAGTGTGCCGGGACCCAAGTCAGAGGATCCAGAATCTAAACGTTCTTGTTCAACAAATCAAAACATTTTACCTGGTAAGTTTTTGAAAATCCCAACCCCTTTGGTTTCTCATAAGCCCTTCAGTGATGCGAAACATTACGGCTACATGTTAAAAAGCGTTCAGTCTCTCCAAATAAGATTACATTTGGTTTCAGATTCTACTACAGTTTTGTGTTTGGCGTGCAGCCTTTGATGTGACTTGTGTTCAGGCAGATCAAGCAGTTGTTCTTAAGATGTGTGGCCTACATTTCGGCCATGCTTACATCTGTGTAATCAGCAGAAGAGTGACGTTAGAGCAGCTGAAAGCAAAGCTGCATTTAGAGCCGCGCGCAGCCAGACAGAGCTTTACAGCGACACACAAAAGTCTCATGGAGCACCAGGGATGCTCAAATGTTGGACTCTGACTGCGTCAAAGTAATTAGACATGAACTGAGATGAGATTTCAGATCCTATGAGATCAGGTGAGAGCCGTTTCGTTATGGAAACTGCTATGTCCCATGATATAGATATGCATGTTCAACAAATAGTGTTGTTGTTTTGTTTTTTTTATTTTAGTTTGTTCTTATATATGGAAGAACAAATATAGTCTTAACTTTTTTCCTCCTATTTTTTTATTTTTAGGCATGAAGTTTATGCTTTTATATATATATAAATCCTTTGGGGTTTTTTTCAAGCTAATACTTTTCATACTTATTAGTATTAAAATGGTTCATCATACTGTTTTGTACATATGGAGCAGGTCTAAAAAATGCTTGTAACTGGTATGATCTGTGGTTAATTAAAAGATTTCACTGCGTATTTGGGGGGGGGGGGGAGGTAATTTGTAGTTCAGTGCATGTTCACTGAGAACTGCTTTCGGCAAAAAGCTAACCCTAACCATTTGCAATTATGATATCAATTTACAGCAGTTTAGCTGTGGTGGCTTGGCTCTGTTCTGGGACCTCCCTGTTCAGCCACATCCATACGTGGAATTCAAGAGGCAGGGAGGGAGGAAGGGGGAAAGAGCAGCATCGACAACAGACATCATACTGATTACCACACACACAGGTTGAAAAAGAGGAGCCGGAGTAGAGAATGCATGTAAAATAGCTTACAGATTAGCAGGCAAAGGTATGTGGGCAGGTTAAATCACTTTAAATAGAGCAGCCTGCCGAGACTTATCGCTGACTCTGCAGAATAGAAAAAGCTGATTAAATAGGTGATATATGTTGGCGTGTAGACCGGCTGATCCACCTAAATCAGCTGAATTTAAATCTGTGACACTAAGTTTAAGTATGTAAACATGCTTAAACAATCTGCTAATATTTTACACGCGTAATTCTTATGACGATTTCTGCTATGACTCAGCATTTTAGCATAAACTTATCCAAATGAACGCAGAGCTCAGTAGACACTGATAAAAATGCATGTCACTAATTGTGTGGGTGTTAATGAGCTCTCAGTTAAATGAGAACTTTCACCTAACATGCCCAGTGAAAATCAAGGAAATGCCAAAGTCATTTGATTTTCTCCAGTGAAATTCCATGGCAGTCCTTCCTGAAATTTCAGGTGTGTCACTGAAAGATACAAACTTGGAATTCATTCTCTAAAAGAGAAAAAGGCTGTTCAATCAGCTTGCTTGATCTTCTTTTTGGCAATCAATTCATCTCAAGATTCCAGTTTAAATCAAATGCTGTGTAACTAATACTCTTCTCCAAAACCCTGCTCACTGCTCCCTCCATGAGGACCTGTTAAGAATCCTTACAACTCAGTGCGTACTCACCCGGACTTGCACATGCTGTGCACACATTCATGGGCTCAAGCCACCGATGGCCCGAAACAAGAGCCCACAAAACAGTTTTGGAGGATTTCAGCGCTGCACCAGGGAAACTGGCTTCGTCATCTCCCCATTCACAACTCCCCCCATTCGCTGGCTGCGTTTCTATATACGCGCCTGTTGAGGTGCTATGCGCTGCTCATGCATACGTCCATGTCCATTCAGGTTCACTGGCAAGCTTTCAAGAGCTGTTTACCCTGCCCCGGTTCGCTTTAGCCAAAATGGGCTTATGCTGTTTTTCACAACTCATCTCCTCCTCTGTTTCTCATTTCTGCAGGATAATCTGCGACAATTAATCATGATTCCTTTCCCAGACGTGCTGCTGCTTGGCAGGACTCCTTATTGTGGTATGCTTTTTCAAAATCACTGTATTTAGACTTGTGACCTTCTCACACGTCCCAGTGCCCACACACAGACATACATTGGAATTTGATTTCATTTGTTGTTCACATATGAGATGCAGAAAATATAAAAAGACTTTAAGAAAAAAATATTGCATAAAATAGGGAGACGCAAAAGACCTGTTTTTTTTTTTAATTGCCAGCAATTGATCTTTTTTTGCTCCTTGCAGAGCAAAGTCTGGAAGAAATGCAGAAGCTTTTGCTGTTACTGTTAGGATGTGCGGTCCAGGTGAAAAAAGACTGATATTCATTTGCTATCATTTAATTACCATTTTCCTGATATGTATTTAACATTTTTTTCTGGGAACTTTGTCAAATTGTGTTTTTTTTGTGCCCTATTTCCAGTGTGAGAAAAAAGAGGAGTATATCGAGAAGATACAAACGCTTGATTTTGAGACAAAAGCTGCAATAGCTGCACATATTCAAGAGGTAAAACACAGCCTTGTTTCAGAACATGAGTGCATGTATCAGTGATTCCACACAGCTCACAATGTTCATTTCCATGTTTAAAAGTTGACCCATAGCCAGGATAATGTGCTGGATCTACAGTGGCTAGAGTCCAGTGACATGCACTCTGAGGAGATGGAGGTAGTTATTCGGAACATGGCTACTCACCTCCAATACCTTCTGGACCAGAGGGACACTCATCTGGAGGTACAGTGTCAACTTCACTCAATTTTATGGTGGACGTATCACAACATATTTGCCACACTAACTTGTTTGGTGGTTCCAAAGTGTGCTGTTTTTTTTTGTTTTTTTTGTTGCAAAACTTTGATATGTACAACTCGGAGTAACACGAGTTGTTTTTTTAAGCCGTTAATAACCATTGGAGTGAGGTTCAAGTATATCTTTCCCTGTCACCTGAGCATTTTCTCCCCTCCTGCTGTGTAGACCATAACAGAGCTAATCCAGGAGAAGGAAGGCGTCGTTAGCTTTCTGAGTAGCCCCTCCAGCCCACAGCCGTCGAGCTGTTCTCCCAGCATGCAACAGCAGCAGGCAGGGGCCCAGCAGCATCTGACGGTGGAACTGGCGGACTCCAAGGCAAAGATCAGACGACTTAGACAGGAGCTGTAAGTACCAACAGACAGCCAAGACAAACTATTCTATCAAAAACTGGCCTTTTATACTGAGGACATATTTTTAACTTTCAAATTCTCATTATCCACATTTAATTTTCCTTTAAAATAAGAAAAAAAAAAAACATCTCACTTCCTAATCCTCGCTCTCAATCTCCATTCTGATGTCATTGTCATGTCAGACTTGCAAATGATGCAGAGTTTTTCTTCAGGGTGGTGATAGATAAAAGGCTCCTTCTTTGGCGCTGCTAATAGAGAGTGGGTGAGAGGCAGTGTGAGAGGTAGTACGGGATAAGAGATGCCCCGGGGAGTTTGGCCCACATTGCTCCCTGCTTGGCAGGTTCCATGGCCGTACACTGTCACTGACCCACTTTTGCTCGGTATTTCAGCAGATACCATACACTCATGCCCACTAATCCTGATCCAGTCAAGCCCTGGACTGTACTATCTTTTTTATTGTACACTCAGGTTCATGCAATGTTGCCTCACAACTTAAACATACAGAAATTAAGAATGAATTTTACTTTTGATTGGCCTGATCTAACACTGTTCTGTTATGTACACCTTAACAATGACATATCTCCTTTTGGAATGTGGGATAAAAGATAGAATTAAGTTTAACTATGCATATAATTATATATTCTATATTGTAACAGCACCTTTTTCTTAAAAATCTGTGTTTGTTTTGTTGTGTATGTTCGACTACAGAGAAGAAAAAAGTGAACAGATGCTGGACTGCAGACATGAACTTGATAATATGGAGGTAGAGCTGAAGAGGATCCACCAGGAGGTATGAAGTCAAAACGGATTTTTTTTTATTTCCATTCCATTAAAAATTTAATCGGAGATCACCAGCCCGGAAATTGGCCGGAGTAAAACCTAGAGAATTGTATATTGTGTTTTAAAATGGGAGTCTGTTGTAAGCACAGGGGCTTTGGAGTCAACTCTTAATGGGTATCTGTAGTATTGTACCTTGATGTTATCAATGTTGGTCTCACATCTTTTTATTTCCCTTATAGAATCATTGGTATATGCTGAGGTCACATGACCCAGATACATTTGGATTTTCTTCCAGCATTTTTGTTATCCAACAAAGGAGTCCCCCATTTTTTGTTTTGATATTTATCCTCTATCAGCTCTTAAAATCAATATTTGTTCTCTATCCACCTGGTGCTCCAACAGAAAACAGAAAACTAAATTAGAAAAATCTGATAATTTATTATGTGAATCCTACCGTGGTGGAGGGGCTGAGGAGCTCTCAGAATAGACTGCAGAGATGCATTTACATGTCCATAAATAGTTTTTCTTTGTGTGAACGTCCACCAGAACTCCCAGCTGCTTGTAGATGCACGTGCTGCCCGTACGTATCGTGACGAGCTCGATGCCCTGAGAGAGAGAGCCATCAAGGCAGACAAGCTGGAGAGTGAAGTCGGACGCTACAGAGAGCAGCTGCACAAGATGGAGTTCTACAAGGCCAAAGTGGAGGTCAAAGAAGTCTAAATTATCAGCATCTTTTCTGAAGACCCGAGTCTGAACATACATGTTTGGAAGTTGGAATATATCTAATAAAATTTAAATGCTCTTCATGCAAACACTTTATGAGTGTATGATAAACTATATCGATCTGCTTTGCATATCAGGAGCTGAAAGAAGATAACAGGGTGCTCCAGGAGACCAAAGAGGTGTTGGAGGATCAGCTGGAAGGCTGGAGATCACGCACAGATAAGATCCACCAGCTGGAGAAGCACGGCCTGCTGCTGAAGGCCCAAGTCCACGATTTGGAGCAGGTCAGAGATCTGCACACAAAGACTAGCATTCCTGTTCCACTGCCAAGTAAGGCGATGATTACCATAGCTATTTGATTTTATTTAGCAAACATGGAAAGACTGTAATGAACTGAAGGGAAACATAAAGGAGAGTTGAAGCCCATCAAAAGAATGACCTTTTAAAGGTTTGAGCACAGAAAGAAAAGTTCAATTTTCATGTTAAACAAAAACCAAAGGGGTTATGTTATTCATGCAAAATGAAGAGGTGTATCCAAGTGGCTAGGGGGTCAAATTAAGCCTTTTGAACAGGTCCTCGCAACAGTTTCTTTTATTCCACCGCCTGTTTGACTTTCCCTTTTGACTTCAGGAGAAGGAGGCTGACAGGAGGCGCATCGAGGAGTTGCAGGAGGAGAACCTGGCTTTGTGTTTGGCACAGAGGAGGAGCATGGAGGAGTCCCAACACCTGGGCTGGGAGCTGGAGCAGCTCTCCAAGACCTCCGACAACTCTCTGGGTAAAAGCTGGTGTCGGGCTGAAGTCACTGTGGTGATGACTGTGGGAGGGAGGGATGGGATGTGAGCTTTTGTTCAACTGCAACAAGTGGACAGAGCTTATGGAAGATGGTTGGTGGCTCGCTGAACTCTCAAAGCTTAAAATAATCGCTAAAACTGAATACTAGCCTGTTGGTTTAACTTTGGATTATGCATCACCAAATTTTAAAACTAGTTTAATCTTAATAAAAATTCATTTAAAGCTTTTTACACTTTAATTCATGCTCTAAACTGGGATTACAGCGGCACTAATATTTTTTATACTTTAATTTTAAAAATGCAAACCATAATCAACTTATCAAACAAACAAGGAGATTTAACTGAACAGTTGCTCTCTTTTCACTTTTAAGATGAACTGAAAATAATCATCAGTCTGTAAGATGAAATAGGCAGGTTTAAACCAACTTTTCTTGTTAAGTTGTTAAAACATACAGATTCAGACAGAAAACTGGTAGAGCTGTGGTATGAAGATATTTTATTTTTACTGTTACGTGAATCTGGACGTCTTTGCCAGACATGTTTTCAAAGTGACTGAAAGTAAATAGTTTTTTCTGTGTTTGTGTCTAAAGGGCAGCAGACTCTAAGTGAGGAGGTCGGTGAGAGGACACGCAGTCGGATGCTGAAGCTGGAGAAGGAGAACCAAAGTCTTCTAAAGATCATAGAAGATCTTCGAACTTTCGCTCAAAACAGCAGCTCACAAACCAAACGTAGCCACCATGTGGTGTGTAACACTAACAACTTCACCTCATCGCCAGAGGAACTGTCAGAGCTGAAAACCTCCGGCTCTTCTCTGCAAAACCACACTGACGTGCACATGCAGCAGATCCCGAATGGGGATTCAGTCTTCCATCAGCAACTCCAAACGGAAGAGTTGGACGAAGTCCAGAGTGAGATCCTTCATGTGCAGGAGAATGGACAGCGGGGGGATGTTGGCGGTGGAGAACATTTTATAGAAAATGTGTCAGATCTGACAGTCCTAAAAAATGATCCCAGTAAGGTCCAAAGTGTCGCTGGACTATGTTATCACTCCCCTGGCTCAAAGAGAACCGGCCCACACCATGAGAGCATCCTCTCAGGTTTTCCGGCACATTCCTCCTATTCCAGGAAGCACGCACAGCGACTGGAGACCAAGTGCCAGGCTCTGGACACAGTTAATCAGCAACTACAGATATCACTGGAGAATTCTGGTAGGTTCTGAATGTTAATTCGGACTAAAGTAACAAGTAGTCATTTCATTAAATAATTTCTTCTTAAATTATCCACCTGCTTCTCTTGAGATCGAAAAATTCACCGTTTGGAGGCAGAAGTTCAGGAGCTGGAAGCAGAAAATCAGACCCTGCAGGCCTCTGTGGAGGAACTCCGGATCTCCGCAAGGCGCATGGAGCAACTAGAGACGGAGAAGCAGAGCCTGGAGCAGGAAGCTACTGCTTTGGAGAAAGACAAGAGGCAACTGGAGAAGGAAAATCGACGTCTCCGACAGCAGGTAAAAAGCCCAAAAACATGGCTTCAGTTTCTTAGCTTCGGAATGGATTGCGGATTTACTCTGTCTTTGTCTGTTCCAGGCTGAAATTCAGGAAGCTAATTTAGACAGCAGCAATGTCAGTATGGCCACCTTGGAAAGAGAGATGCGTTTTCTAGTGAAGGAGGTGGAGGGGTTACGGGAAACTGCTGAGAGGGTCAAAACCCTGGAGAGAGACAACAGAGAACTGACTAAGCAAGCTGCTATTGACCAGAGGACCCTGGTCACCCTCAGAGAGGTGAGGATTGACAACATAGACATATATTTGTATCATTTCACTATAATACATTATGTTCCAGTATAATAACCTTTTTCCCACCTCTATATTATTGATTAGCATTTTGTAACAAAAGGCCACATCTTCTATCTGTTATAGTTCTTTAATCTTCCGCAAACTGTGTTAGTTTTATTTACAGTCAAACAAAACTCGTAACTTTTTCAGGTCACTCTACTAGACTGAGCTAAGTGCTAATATGATTATGCTAACATCTTTATAATAACAATTCTGGTAAGGACTGGTGCATTTTTTTGTGTCATTGATTCATCTGTAGGAGCTGGTGAGTGAAAAGCTGAAAACCCAGCAGAGAGACAATGAACTGGAGAGGATGGCTCACGACCTGGAGATGAAAGCCCTGAACCAGGACAGTGCAGAGCAGATTGAACAAGACCCACCAGACGACAGGTGCGTATGATCCATTTGATAAACGATGAGTTTCGACTCTGCGTGTGAAGAAACTTCAGCTCCAAACTCCTTTTTCTGTCGTCTGCGCAGCAGGTTCAAGATGCTGGAGTCTGAGCTGGAGTCATCTCTCAAAAAATCTTTGCAAATCAAAGATGAGAAGATGGCTGCGCTGGAGGCTCGCCTGCAGGAGTCCTCCTCCCTCAACCAGCTGCTGCGCCACCAACTGAAGACTGTCAGTCTGTTAAAAAAAGTGAAGACCTGCTCAACGTTAAGCTTCTTATGATCCAAATGTCAACGCCCCTCTCCCCCCCCCCCACAGGTGAAGGCGAGCTATGAAGCCCTGCAGCAGAGGCATGAGGAGGAGTGGACCACGTCAAGCTCCAGCCCTCCGACCGAGACCGGCAAGGCCATGACCGAATGGCTGCGGGAAAGCCAGGAGGAGCTGCTGAGACTGAAGGACCGACTCATCGAAGTGGAGAGAAATGTAAGTGGTGTGTTGTAACAGCAACTGAAAAGGCACAAACGTTAAAGTGCTGCGTTGGAACTTCGCCCCAGAGAGGATTTCCAAGTCTCCCATTAAGTTCCAACAATCCGTTTGCCGTCATTGTCGTTAAAGTTGGCGTTTTGATGTTATCCAGTTGAACTGAGGCAGTATTTATCGTTCCGTATGGAGATGCTCTCTTACGTTTCGGCCCTGATCTTCTTCTCCTCAGAACGCCACGCTGGAGGCCGAACGGCAGGCCATGCAGGCCCAGCTGAAACAGCTGGAGAGCCAGTCGGACAGCCAGCAGGCTCAGATCCTGGCCCTGCAGAGGCAGGCCGCCTCTCTGCAGGAGAGCAACACCGCTCTGCAGACGCACAATGCCAACCTGCAGGTGTCTCTGCGATACCGATTCTCCCTCTGACACCGTGTACCGACCGGCTCTGCTAATCCCCCGATCTTGGCCCCCTCCGCAGGTGGAGAAGTCCACCCTGAGCTCCCAGAGCGCCTCCCTGCTGGCCCAGAACGCCCAGCTGCAGCAGCAGCAGTCGGGGACGGAGGGCGAGCGCGACGGCGCCGTGCGCGAGCGCGAAGAGCTGCGCGGCGTGCACGAGCAGCTGTCCCGGGACCACCAGCGCCTGGCCGCTCTGCACGAGCGGCAGGCCATGGATTACGAGACCCTGATGGGAAAGCACACCTGCGTGAAGAACGCCCACCGCACACTGGAGTTAGAGCACCGAACACTCCAAGACAGGTGGGTTAGAAGAGACTAAATATGAAGGTTTTTATCAATACACGTCTGTGTGGTCTGCGTCTGGACAGCTTGTTTCATCGTGGTCCCTCATGTGTGTGCGTCTCTGTTTGGGATGTCTCTAGGTATAACAACCTGCTCCAGCAGCGGACTAAGCTAGAGGACTTGGAGAAAGCCCTAAAAGAGGAGCAGATGAAGATGGCTCTGGAGCGGGAACAGCAACGGTCAACGGAAGCCGAGTGCCACAGGCTGCGAGAAGACAAAGACTGGTGAAGGAGCACCGGAGCACTAATGCCCACTTTGGGAAACAGGCAGGGCTCGCGACAGTTTCAGGTTTAAACCAATATCGTTTCTGTCCGTGTCGCTTAAGGCTCAACCAGATATACCGTCAGCTTCTCAATGACAACGAGGCGCTGACAGCAGACCACAAGGAGCTGAAGAGCCAGCTGAATGAGGCCAAGCTGGAGCACACCTGGCTGGAGGCCGACTTTTCCAAGCTCAAAAAGGAGTTCCAGCAGCTGGACATCACCTCCACAAAACTCACCAACCAGTGCGAGGTACGGAAATGTACTACGATGACATGGTATTGCATTGGTTCTCAAACAGTAACAAACTTCATACTCTTTTTAAAATTCTTTTGTGAGTGAATGTGTACACATGAGCATATACTTCTCCATGTTGGTGCTTAGTTACTGAGTCAGTTGAAGGGAAACCTCGAGGAGGAGAACCGTCACCTGCTCGCCCAGATTGAGACTTTGATGCTTCAGAACCGCACCTTGTTGGAGCAGAACATGGAAAGCAAGGATCTGTTTCACGTGGAAGAGCGGCAGTATATGTAAGCAGCACAAAAGGCTGAAACCGTGTAAAGAAAAGGCTTTATTTTCAGCCGATGACAAGTGTCTTTTTGGAAACCACTGTGTGCGGTCTACGTGTTCCACACAGTTTGAGGACATAATCCTGTAATTATTATACAATTGTTTGACTTCCACTGAACAGTTAAAGAGTTTTACGGTTTAATGAGCTGACACATTCGGGCTGGCTGTTTGACACTGGCAGAACACAGTGTTTCAGATGTACGCCATTCAAGATGCTAAAAATACCGCAGCGCTCGACGGCGGGAGCAAAATGTTAACAGTGATGATCCTACCTTTTGTCTGTCTCTCCGAACAGCGACAAGCTTAATGATCTGAGAAGGCAGAAGGAGAAGCTGGAGGAAAAGATAATGGACCAGTACAAGTTTTACGAACCCTCGCCACCTCGCAAGTAAGCAGCCAGTTATGGTGTCGCTATGCAGAGATTTCCATGTTATAACTGAGTATCCTGAGACCTGACTGACAGACGTTTTTTGTTTACCGGTTAGCTTTCGCTGTTTGAACCTATGTTAACCAGAAACCAAAGCCATAAAGTTGATGAATACAAACTAAAATAATGGGTTACCTGTTGTCCATTTTTATAAGGCTATACATGAAATAATAAAGGTAATGTGTTTCATCTTAGAGGTGAACATTTCTGTATATTTGAGAGCTTTACTTCTCAACTCTTCTCAACGCTTCCCACACGTGTTACATTTCTATGCCTTTGTCTTTTCTACTCACAGACGGGGCAGCTGGATAACTCTGAAGCTGAAAAAGCTGATGAAATCCAGCAGCCGGGAGTCCACAATCTCAGACTCGGCTGAGACCCATGACAACGGTTCCTTCATTAGCTCAGACGGCTCCGGAGGCTCGGCCTCCACCTCAGCAGGTGATGCTGCCTCACACCAGCGTAACAGCAGTGAGTATGACCTTCTCCAGCTCACCAGACCCCCCCCAGAGGCAGGCCATGTCTTCCATTCTGGATTGTGTTCATGTGAAGTCCAGAGTGCTGTGGATGAGTCAGAATCATCATCCGAGGCTTCAGTCAAAAAGGCAGCCATCTTCCCCATTTTTGGCAAAACTACCAGCTTAACTGCTGCATTTTCAAAGAAAATGCACAAAAGTAAATAAATGCATATCATAATAAACCCTTTACGCCCTGTTTATAATCTTTCTTAAAGGTTTTCTGCAGTGTTTGATGATTTTCACTATGTGAAAAGGATAGAACCTGCTTGAAATGTGTGAGACGTCTTTAGGAATCGTATCTGAAATCTGCTTGTTAACTCAGCAACCTACTTAACGGATGACGGTTTAATTATTCTGACAGTAGCGTGTCTTGGTTGAAATCCAGCTCATTTTGTGTGTCACACCCAAAGAATCAGTCTTCCTGAGGCATGAATTTGAATTTCCTCAGTGATCCTCTGTTTGTCCTCCTTGTGTTTCTCTCTTGTCTTGATCTATTTATTCACTCCTCCAATCATCTTTGTTTTTTTCCCCTTGTCTTTCCATCCTCTTAACTCTCTCCTGCCTCACTTCTGTCTCCCCTTTGGTACCCCCCTCCCCTCCCTCCCTCCCACCACCCTGGGCTTCATCCCATGTGGTCCCACTCGATGAAAAGCCCCTTTGAAAAAGTTTCCCCGATTGAGGAGCAGGCTAAAGGACAGAGACAAAGTCAAGGCCCTCTTTCGCCGTTCCATGTGTAAGAAAGACCGTAGTTGGCTGTCTGCTCTGATCTTAACTGTTGCCATTTATTTTGCCAGAGCACTATATTTTGCACACCCTACGCTTTGTGCTTTTTACACTACATGCCATAAAGCAATCATATCATTAACCGATTCATATTCATCAGCGATAGCAGAAGTGTGGCCATCAATAACGATGTCAAGTCACCACACTTCAAGTTCATTCTTCAAGTTTTACAGATTAAAGCATTCTATTTATTTACCATATTAGAATCAGTAACAGTGAGGACTGAGGAAATGCTGCATTGCAGGGTGACTGATGATGCCAGAGCTTTGTCCTGCCAGGGCCAGGCTGTAGCAGAGTATGGCTACAGATTATGAGAGTTCTGCTCTGGCTATTGAACTATATAGCAAAAGGGAAAAAATCCTGATAATCTCAGTGACCGTCGCAGTACTCTGCCCCATTCCTCCACCCATTTTTTTCCCCATCGCTTTTTCCAACCACGTAGCTTTGAGCAGCTTATCCTACCCCTCGGCCCCGTTTGAGGCGAAGCGGTTGGCCGACAGCTCAGACCTGCTGGACGGGTCTGAGGCTGGCGAGGAGGCGTGCCGGGAGGACCCGCTGACCTCATCCCTAACATCCTCCATCGCTTCCATCCTCCACCTGCACCATCCCACCACTCTGCCATCTGATCACAGCACCACCACTCACACTGTTCCAGATGTTTCTGAGCTGTGGGTGACAGGTAGATGCATCCAGGAGGCCATGTTTTTGTTCGCTTCCATTGCCATTAGTTCATTTTTGTACAGAAAATTAGAATAATAACCGCGCGCTTGACGCTTGGCTGCTTTTCTCGGTGCAAAGTCAAAGCTGCTCTCAATAAGTCATTCTGATTTTCTGCCACACAGACAAAGATTCGAACGACAGCACTGTGCCATCTGGATGCGAGGACAACGAAATGATGCCGCATCACGGTAAAAACCCTCTGAATACCCTTTTAGGGGATTCAGTCAGCATGCAGATGTGTTGCCAGCTCAGGAATTAGACTAAACCCATCAAATCACATTCATGACCTTGTTTCATATTAATCTCTATGCTGATCACTGAAGACAACAACTGTTGTAGGAAGCCTTGACTCTGCTGCTCCCTGTTGGTCATCAAAAAAGATTATGTTGAGCTTACAGATGCCATCGTGCTAGAGGGGGTTATTTTCTCCTGTATATAACATATCCTAATGTCTTCCCAGGCCTGAATGGAGTCCAGAGTCGAGCCCAAAGTGAGAGCAGCTGTGAGTTCAACCTGAGCTTAGAAAATGAGCCGTGGTCAAACGGCAGCAGTCCCATCCAGCAGCCCCCCTCCCGACGCTCCTCCTCCTCCTACCAGCCGCCCAGTGACACCTCCACCCCCCAACGGGACATCAGGCCGCTGCAGCACAGGGACAAAACCTCCACTGTGTCCACCCCTGACAGTCAGAATTCAGCCACCCCGCCGGCACACAAACAGAAAGATCCTGTGCTGACTCAGGACTTCTGGCTCAGAAGGGGTACAAAAACCATCCGAAGGGGGTCGAGGGCCAAGGTGACCCGCCGTTCGTCGGATTTAGGAGGCACCGGCAAAAATAGCTCGGGGCTTAGTGGCCTGCCCAAAGCTGAAACGACCAGAGCCTCTGCATGCTCACCCATCACAGTGCTCTATGTTCAGGGTAAGTCATCCTCCATGTCAGGCTGCCTCAACTGCTTCTCCTCCCCCACGGTGAAAGAGGGTCGACTGAAAGGGTCCAGGCCCCCTAAAAGTCTCCCCCAGGCCGGCGGTGTCATCTGCACAGGCTCGCCTGGACGGCCAAGCGGTAGCAGCGACTGCAGGGGGACGGTCAAAGCTGAGCCAGAGCAGAAGAATAATCAAAAGGAAACATTAAGTCAGAACCAAGAGCCAGAATCAGCCCCAAACAACAGAGTTCCCGGGCCCATTCCTCCAGTCAAACCCCCCAGAGACCCCGCGGCTGTCGTCCAAGCAGAACACCACAAAACTCCCGTGCAGGAATCACTACTCGGCTCCTCGTTCACTTTTAACTCTGTGTTCTCAAACACTATTTTCAGCGATTCTGTTATCGCCACCACAACTAGCGAGGATGCGCTTGATATCAACGAGACCTTCCACTGTGAGAACCCCTCCGCTGGGCAGAACCGTCCAGCCGAGGGGCAGGAACCTGCTGAAACCGGAGGACAAGGCTCAGAAAACGAGCCGGGTCAAAACGCAGAGCATATAGCTGTTCCGGAGGGCAAAGGCCAGCTGCTCACAATCGCATGAAAGCAGCCGCTACATCATTGTTTGTTCAGTAACTTCAATAAAGCAGGTGTTCGCAAAGCCAGTATTCACAGCATCAACACAAGCACATTGTACGTTCAAAAGGGGAGTTCAGCACTCACTGTTTTGATGCTTTCGTTTTTTGTTTTATTTCAATTTTTAGGTATTAGTTTTTTAATCACATTAAGATGCTCAGACGGGAGATTCAGAGGCACGTTTCTGTTCCCAGACATGTTTCCATTTTGTTTTAATATAACTGAAAAATATAACGTCGTATTTCCTCTTTTTTCCATCATTTTTCTATTTTAAGGTGGTGCTTGTCAACGAGCCAATTCACTTTTATTAGAATACACTGACCATTCTTTGTTACGTGTTTGTGTTTGCTGATTCTGTTTATATTTTATGTCTTTTTACTCATTCCCTTTAAATGATCATCCAGCAACATTGCTTTTAGTGTATGAAATTTATTGTAAATAAATGTTACAAAACAGAAAGTGGACATCGTCTCTGTTTCCCATAATAAAATAGTCATAACCCTTTAATGCCGTATGTCATATTTGATATATAGATTTTTTATTCTAATTCAAATTTTTAATTCTTTAATTCATTCAAATTAGCACAAAATCTTGATTAAATCTGGTTTAAAAAAACATGGAAATTACACATAATGTACATTTTTATATACATAAATCTCATTATAAAAAATAAAAATGGCTATGTTCTGTTTTTTTTACTACGGTGAAGCTTTAATAATAAATACTTATCTGTAAGTCAAATGTTATTGTTTTTTATAACGGAGCAGATAGATTGTACCCGCCCCGCGTTCTCATTGGCTCAACATCGGTCACGTGGAGCAATGCGGAAATACGACGGTGGCTTTTTTGGGAACAAACTAACCATTTGTGCGTAGTGTTTTAGTGGCTCGTTACCGTGTCGTCAGGCGAGTCAGCTGGATTGGCTCCGTCAACTTTACCGCAGGACTCGGTGTCTGTACCCGGGCCTTGGCACGATGCTGAGCGCTGCCGCCGCGGAGAGGAACAAGGAGCCCATCCTGTCGGTGCTCCGGGAGTCCGTGGACACCGGCAGACCGCTGCAGGCGCTGGAGATATCCTCCGGCACCGGGCAGCATGTCACTCACTTTGCGCAGGTTCTCCGGAACATCACCTGGCAGCCATCTGAGTATGACCGCCAGTCACTGGCCAGGTAAACAGCCGCTCTCATTTAGCTCATATTCACACTCTATCTTACATTCGTGGGGCGTGGATACTCAAACAGTTACGGTAATTGTTTTTACCTGCGTAATAACTTCTGTGTATCGTCTATATACCGTTTAATTGTAACATAATATGAATAAATTGAGTTAATATCTAAGTTGTATATGTTTTATTTAGGAGTAGGCTACCTGCTTTCACAATAATACTTGTTTTCATTCTCAGTATAGAAGCCTATAGAGCTCATTACCAGCTGGGCAACGTGAAGCCTGCCATCCACCTGGATGCTTCCCTGCCCCACCATCACTGGGGAGGGATCCCCCCAGAGAGCCTGGACCTGGTGCTCAACATCAACATGATTCACATTTCTCCCATGGCCTGTACAGAGGTAGGGCTGCAGATTTTTCTGAGCCTGCAATGCAGGGAGAGGTCTAAATTATTCCAGGACCTCAGGCATAAGGCTTCAAAGTAGCCCTTTTGTTTTCACCAGCTGATACAGTGACGTCACCTGGTGAGTTGAGTATGATCAGGTTGAAGAGGTGATCACACTCAAAATACAGCAGTAGTTTCTTCATCACTAGTTGAGCTACAGACAGCTGTTACATATCTTTCTTCTTGGCACATTCTCATTATCAGTCTGTTTGTAGTCCATGCAAAAATCAGTACATCTGACCCGAATCAGTTGGGTGGACTAAGAGCTTCATTTTTTTTAAGTAGTAATGATAAGAACTGTGGCTCATGCTGGCTGCTTTTCACAGAAATTTAATTGTAGCCCAAAGACACGTTCAGTGACAAATTGGGTATCAGAACTGGAGAAAAATATCAAAGAATATCTTGTTAGGCTTTTTTGTTGGGAAAGTCTTTATTCTTTGTCTGTTATTTGTGTTGTTGAGGATTTGCTGTTAGCTTGAAAGCAAACATATTTTGCTAGTAAATATTGACTTCAAACAATCAAATTTAGGAATGATTTTTTTATAGTGTTTCCTATAACCCCTAGAAATCTGATTTTGTTGAACGTAGGTGCACTACTCCACTGAAAAGTTCATGGTGGAGGAAAAAAACCGTCTTTATATCCGATTTATAGCGGCCTTTATATGACAGACTTCCAAAGGAACAAATGCCATGAGCAGAGTCCTCTTTATGAATCAGCGACATTAGTCATAGCACCTTGTGGCCAGAAGACGTGGCCTCTGGAAGCCAAATAGCGTGTTAGATGCTGAACTCCTCGTGTGTTTACTGCTCTGTGCTGCGGTCAGCTCAGGTGTTTCAGCCAATAGGATAGCAGGGGCACCAGAAGATTACCGTTTCCAGCCGGTGAGGCACTGTGGGCCTAACATCCCCACTTGTTTTCTTCCAGGGTTTATTCAAAGGGGCAGCAGCAGTGCTGAGGCCACAGGGTGTTCTGTTCACATACGGGGTGAGTGAAAGACACGTCCAGCCATAAACATGTGCTCTCTATAAGCCTTAACGCTGCATTTCACATTGCGTTGCTACCCTCAGCCGTATGCGGTGAACGGCCAGATCAGCCCTCAAAGCAACGTGGACTTTGACTACAGTTTGCGGCAGAGGTCAGTGCTCAATATTTTGATACCCTGGAGGTAAAGAGGAGGCTTGGATTTTTTAATAAAAGTGGATGTTTTAATCAAAAAGGGTGGGGATGGAGTTTTTTTTTCTTTTTTTTCCCTTGGTCGGGTTAAAGAAGGAGACTGATGTGTTAATGAGATTTTAATTTTTCATTGTGACTTACAGGAACCCAGAATGGGGACTCAGGGATATATCACTCCTCAGTTCCATGGCACAAAAGAGCGGCCTATTCCTGGAGAAAGTTGTAAGGAATGATCATAGCTCAGCCCGAGCACGTTTGATGAGAGTGAAGTTCACTGGTGCGCTTTGGTTTCCTGACCTGCGATATTTTCTTTCCTAGGTGGAAATGCCAGCAAACAACAAATGCCTTCTGTTCAGGAAGGAGAGTTTGGTGTGATGTATCCTGAGCCGTCTTCTCTGGATGTGCACCAGTCTCAGAGCGGGATGATCACAAAGCCTTAAGCCTCCACTTGAACTCCTGATTCATGGCCAAAGTTTTAAGAACCCTAAATAAATCATGTTCTCTGTTTCCTCTAAAACAAGTGGGGAGTGGATTTGTTATTTTCGATCCGAACTGTTGTTCTCTAATCTGTGATATACCACAATCTTCTGTATCGCACAGCTGAGTTAAAAGCTCTCGTACTACATAAGTTTCCTGTGTTTTTTATTTACCGTTTGACTACCAGCTATTCATTTTCTATACTCAATATTTTCATCATAAGAACTTGACAGAAGTGCTTTGCAGAAAGTTAAGAGAGAACATTAAGTACATCAAAGTTAAAGAAAATCTGTAAAAACATCTAATCCAAAATAATAATAAAAATATATATTTATATATCCTGTATATATAGGATTTAAGTAATTAGTATCAAATTGTTTAGCTGCTTTTCTAGCTGCCATCAACATTTTTTCACAGTACAAACACAACAAATGAAAACAGAAATTATATAATATGTAAAAAATAAAAAAAACTCATCACATGATCAGAAGGTGTCACATTTGGAATGTAGTACAACTGGAGCTCGTTTTCAATTCTTAACTGCAGCATTGAGGCATGTTTTATAAACTAAATAGTCCATGTATACATGTGTGTCATGTGTGTCCCCCTCACACACACATACACATGTGTGTGAGGGCGTGTGTGTGTATATATAGATGCTTTTTCAGGTCCTTTAGATGCTGTCCTCTTACGGTGCAGGTCACTGTGCCTGCTGCCCCTCGATGGGCCAAAATGGCGGAGCTCTAGGATCCCTCGCAGGTTTTCTTGTCCAGAGCCTCGCGCAGCTTCTTGAGTCTGCGCTCGGTGACGGCTTTGACGTAGCTGTCCGGCTGGATGATGGCCATGCCGTCCTGCACCACCCCCATGACCAGCAGCGGGTTCTCCTCCACCGTGATGTTGGGGCAGGGGCAGCTCCAGTCTATCCTGTTGACGGTCACCTCCAGGTGCTTGGTGTTGAAGAAGGCCAGGCCCATCTTCTCGTCCCTCAGCACCTCCTCCAGGCTGAAGCGGGCCAGACCGGAGTCCAGCTCCTCCACCAGCTCCGTCAGCCGGCCCACGATGGCGAAGTCGCTGCGGCACAGGCTGGCCATCATTTTCCCCCTCATGCGGCAGCTCCGGCAGGGCCTGCGCTTGGGCTCGGGGCAGGCGGCCTCGCACTCCTTCTTCGAGCGGAAGCTGTTGGCGTTGCCGTGGCAGCCGCCGTAGACGAAGGCCTGGCACTGCTTGGTCAGCGCGTTCCAGCTCCAGCGCGCCTCCCAGGCCTTGCAGGGGCCCTGGACGGCGGGCAGGGCGCAGACCCCGGCGCCCTCCCGCTGGCAGGAGGCCTTGCACTCCTCGTAGGTCTCGAAGCGGTTGCGGCTGTCCTCGCAGCCGCCGCTGCTGAAGGCCGCGCAGGAGCCCAGCTTCCCGTCGTAGTACCAGTCCACGTGGCGCTCGCCGCTGCACGCGCGCAGGTCCACCTCGGCCAGGCAGTCGGCCGGAGAGAACGGGCGCCCCATGGGCATCTCGGGGTCCTCGGAGAAGCCGCCGTCGCCGTGGGCCCGCCGCACCACGGACAGCGGGTAGTCGGCGCGCAGGGCCCCCGCCGCGTTGCGCGCCACGCAGCTGTACACGCCCGTGTCCCACACCTGCGCGTTGTAGATGACCAGCTGGCCGATGTTGGTGATGACCACGTTGCCGTACATCCGGTCGGGCCGCATGACCAGCCCCCGCCGCCGGTCGCCCTGCTGCTTCTCCCAGGTCACGTCGGGCCGCGGGACCCCGACCACGTCGCAGTGGAAGCTCACCGTGCCCCCCACGTACACGGACTGGTGGTGGGGGTTGGAGAACAGGGCGGGGGCCACGGGGTCCTGCAGGGAGGCCGTGGGCGTGGGGTGCACCGTGGTGTCCTGGGGCAGGGGGCTGGTGTGGGGCCCGGCCAGGTAGAAGCGGCAAGGCACCACGGTCAACGTCACCCCGCGCACGCACGCCTCCGCGTCCATGTAGCAGCGGTTGAAGTAGGTCAGGCCGTCCGACGCGCACGTGAAGTTGGGCTCCTTCTCGCAGCGGTCCCGGCACTTGCACACGGGCTGCCCGTCCCAGATGTCGCAGGTCGCGCCCTGCTGGCTGCACACGAAGCCCTCGCACGTGGCCGCGGACTCCGGGTCCGAGTCGCCCCCCCCACCGGCGTCCGGCCGGGCCGGGGTGCCGTCCGAGAACCGGGCCGCCACGCAACTGCTCAGGCCGCACACGTTCGTGCAGCATTTCTCAAAGTCGGCGCAGTCCTGGACACACAAGGGGGGCCGCAAATGAACACAAGACTAAACTAATCTAGTGGTTTTGTAAATGAAGGAACGAGATGGACGTGACGTGGACGATCTCACCTCATCGACGCTGCATTCTCTCTCGCAGGTGCTCTGCGCGTCAACCCAGAGGTTGGAGTTCAACTTATTGGGGCAGAATCCTTCGTGTTTTGCGCCGTTTGCGCACAAAGACGACTCCAGGAAATCGGACACTAACAGCACCAACAAGCACGCGCCGCTCCATCCCGGTTGGAGTTTGGAGGCGCGGGGCGCGTTGGGCCAGATCTGGTCCCCGAAACGTGTCTGCTCCAGGAGCCGCAGAGGGATTTTACACATCGTTGCTCTTTTGTTTGAGGTGCCCGCCGAGTAATTCCATCCCTCCCTTCGAGCCTTAGAGAAAAGGGAAGCCTTGTGTAGTCAACTTTTCGATGAAGTTGGTCCGTTTTTTGTGCGTAAACTTCAAAGTAAGTTTGCGAAGCGCAGAGAAAACAAAAAGAAAAAAAGAGTTTCTCTAACGAAGTCACCGTGCGCACATTCAGTAAACGCCGCGCATTCCGGCGCAAGACGCGCTAATTGGAAGCGGAAAATATCCCCCCCCTTGATAATTAGAAGGTTTGCAACAATGAGCAAAGTCAGCCTCCAGGAAGAGCGAAACAGGCGAGCGAAAAGCGCACAATGAGGGAGAAAGGCGCCCAGCAGCCTTTCAGAGTGTGAATGAAGGTGGAAAGGGCAGCCCCTCCGGCCGCCCCCACGGCCCTCCGGTGTCTGAAACTTTTATGAAGCAACGCCGTGCGCTCCGCAACTGGACAAACATTGTAAAAACATCAAAGAAAAAACGTGGGCTCTTGGTCCCTGGATGCGCACATTCCGGCGAGAAGTCCAAAGATTAACGCGTCCAGACCATTTCCCCCTGACTCTCCTATGTCTGTTTGTTTTTTAACTGACTATTTAGTTTTTTTTAATGGTATGCATTGATTTGCAAAGACTTTTTCTTGCACAAATCGTAAGGTTAGATAGTAAAAAGTCGCCTGAGGTGCAAGACAGAAGCCATGAAAAGCAAACACGGGGCGTGTCTCATCATGTCTCGCAAAACTTGTTGTTTGCGCCATTCTTGTCTAGACATGGGTCAATTTACCCCCGACCCTCATTCACGAGGGGCTCCGAGATGCCGCGATCAGGTGGGAAGACGTAAAGCGTCCCATTTTCGGCGGAGTGTGACTCATCTCTGCGCAGACCCGGCTCAGCCCCCCCCCCCCCCAGCGGCCTTTCATGGGCGCTGACCCCCGCGACCTGTGGCTGACTTCTGACCGCCCCGCATTCACGCGCTGCCCCGGTGATCCCCGTTCCCC